TCGAAGGTGGGGCCAAGGTGGAGGATGACTCGGTATCCATCTGATCGGCCGTACTGGTGTGCGAAAAACTAAGTCGCGATAGTTGTGACTGGGTGAAAGCGGTTGGCGTATCTGGAATGTCATCGTCCTCGGATATGGGTGAAGGCATGCGTCTAGTCCGATCTTCGTCTACATCCTGCCTCTGTCCCTTCCAGGCTGGTGGAGGTGCCTGCATTGACGGTACATTCGAGTTGTTCATAGCTATGCCACCGGCTGATCCGCTCATCGGATAACCCAATCCGCTCATCCCCCCTCTCTTAAAAGTCGGGTGTATGGGTGTGGGTATCCGACTATTGTTGTTGACGGCGTCTGAGTTGAATAGCGATGGTTGGAGCATGGGCGGTCGCATGAAGTTGCTGCCAAACGAGTTGAAGGCGGGCGACTCTGGCGGCTGGCTCCGAACATCCATGTCATCGTCGTCCATATCCATATCCATGTCCATGCCACTTGATTCTCTTGATATACAGACAGGTCCACCATATATCGAATCCGGCGAATTCGCTCCTCCATATTCTGAATGTGCCGGTGTCATAGACCGGATGTCCGTAAAGAGTCTTGGTGGGGTCGACAGCGATTGATGTGGGAACTGGTCAAGGTTGGTCGGCTCGTTGCTGCCCGGTCGGGATTTCTGTACCGCCATTAGCCAAAGCCCGGCACACGATATTGCCGACATACCTTGAGGTACCGTTCCTCGTCGAAGTCCGAGTCTGAATCGTCGTCGCGCCCTCGCTTCCTGGCCATGAAGTGAAATGCAGACATGGTGATGTAGACTAAACGAGTGGTCCTTCCTTACGTCGGCGCAACGCGATCAACGCGTCGGTGGAATGGTAACGAGATGATTGTGGTGGTGCAGTGAGGGTCGAGAGGGGTGCGGCTGAGGAAGCGGGACTGCGATCGAGAGACCTGGTCGGTATGTTTGACGCAAGCCGGGCGGGGGGTTGATATGACTATCAGGGGCGCTGTTTCAGGTCGCATGAAAAGAACCAAGGCTTGGATGGTGGAGTCGCGCGCCTCAAGCGACTGTGGGGGGAACTTGCGACTTGGTTGCCGGGAGTTGGAGGCCCGTCCAGATCCAGCCCGAGGTGTCGCTTGCCGGCGGTGCGTGCGAGAGATAGTCGCGATGATGTCGACGATGGTGTGGCTTAGCGTGGCGGAGTGGTGATTGGCAACTGAAGCCAAACCTTGAACTCGCCGAAACCGAGGCAGGTACGGCATCACGTGGGCTGTGTATCTGCATGTCCAAGGGGAAGGGGAGGAGCATGCGTTCACTTGTCATGGCGGGATGTGGCAGGAGGCGTGTGTGTGTAGCCACCTGGACATGTCGCAAGCTGAATGCAGGCCTCTAGGGGTCGGAGAGATGCTGTTGGAAGGGATACGGGCTGAGTGAGCCGTTGCTGCAGCTTTGGTCAGACAGTGCCGCCAACGCTTCCATCCAGCCTGCCAGCTGCCACCTCATAGCAGAATTCAAAACCAGGCCGATCTGCAGACTACACCAAGAGGAAAAGGTCATGTTCACGCCGTCGTCGAGCTCCAGCAGCAACATACACGTACATTGACCAACAGGAAGAGGGCGATTCCCAATTCCAGGGTAACGAGCTTGGCGCACATGCAGCTGCAAAGCTCCGTCGACGGTGTATCGATAGCCTGCGGGACCAGAACCAACCATCAGCCCCACCCCGACCTAAAGTTTCCCAAATAATTTGGTGGCATATGACTGTATTTGCAACGCCCTCACTGTATCCTTTGCCTGTCATTCTCGCCGACCTCGGACCTGCGCCTGCATACACCATCTGCGCGCTTGATCTTCTGACTTGAGACATTCAACGCCCCTCCTTGCACTCTACTGCACGCCCTGTACGACCTCGCTGCTGTACATCCGCATACGTCTGTGCCACAGTCCAAGTAAGACTGACCGCAAATCGACAGTCGCTTAGACAGCCTACTGATATACATAAAGATAGCCTACTCACTGTACAATGGCTCCCGCTGCAACAGAAACACCCGACATGTCCATCAACCCGAGCGACGATGTGCGCGTACTTGGCTACGACCCGCTGATCCCACCCCAACTTCTCGCGTCCGAGATCCCCATCCCCGCACATGCCGAAAAGACCGTCATCCAAGGTCGCAAGGAAGCCGCCAGCATCATTACCCAGAAAGATGACCGTCTCCTCGTCATGGTCGGGCCCTGCTCGCTCCACGACCCAGAGCTGGCACTCGAGTACTGCCAGCGCCTCAAGGCCCTCGCCGACAAGCTTCAAGACAACCTCTGCATCATCATGCGCGCCTACCTCGAGAAACCACGCACAACCGTCGGCTGGAAGGGCCTGATCAACGACCCAGACATTGACGAGAGCTACAAAATCAACAAGGGCCTGAGAGTGTCGCGCAAGTTGTTTGTGGACCTCACATCCGCGGGCATGCCCATTGCCTCCGAGATGCTCGACACTATCTCTCCACAGTTCCTCGCCGACCTTATCTCTCTCGGTGCTATTGGTGCACGAACAACCGAGTCACAATTGCACCGTGAGCTAGCCTCTGGTCTTTCTTTCCCTATTGGATTCAAGAACGGCACCGATGGAGGCTTGACCGTGGCAGTCGATGCGATTGGTGGTGCTGCTGCTAAGCACCACTTCATGGGCGTAACGAAGCAAGGTCTGGCCGCTATCACCAGGACGGCAGGTAACGAGCACTGCTTCGTTATCCTCCGTGGTGGATCCAAGGGTACCAACTACGACAAGGACAGCATCAAGGCTGCCAGGGAGGCTTTGAAGAAGAAGAACCTGCCTGAGGTCATGATGGTCGACTGCTCACACGGTACGTTCCTGTATACAAGAATGCTCTACCAACATACACTAATATCTGATAGGCAACTCCAACAAGAACCACCGCAACCAGCCCCTCGTAGCCAAGGACATTGCCGACCAGATCCGCAACGGTGAGACCGGCATTGTTGGTGTCATGATCGAATCCAACATCAACGAGGGCAACCAGAAGGTCCCCCCTGAGGGACCTAGCGGTCTGAAGAAGGGTGTCTCCATCACAGATGCTTGCATTGACTGGGATAGCACCGTCGACACTCTCGAGAACCTTGCATCTGCTGTCGCCGAGAGGCGGGCAAACCAGAGCAAGTCCAACGGTGCACACTAAACGCATCTGTCGAGTGCAGTGTTCGGGTTAGATTATGTATATAGTATGGGGTATTTGGCGTTGGCAAAAGTCTAGAGAGTTTGGGATATGGATGAGACGATAGGGACTGACTTATGATCGATGAACGAGATACATGATTGAACCAATCAAAATTCTTGGCTTCAACTCCAAATCACAAAACATCCAACGCCTGAATGCCCACGGGTATCTTCGTTCTGACGTTCCTGGCTCTTATCACGTGCTCTCACTCATCTTCTTCCTCGTCTTCCACTTCCTGCTGCTGCGTGCTGCGCCGATTACCGCCAGTGCTCGTCCTTGGTCCCGTCCAAGCCGCCCTTTCTCCTACAAACACGTCTCCTGTACATTCCGTCTGACACTTGGGACACTTCCTACGATCCCCGCTTCTGCCCCGATAGTAGCTATTAGCACACGCATCGTGCCATCGAACCCCACACTCTTTGTTGTTGCACCTAATGCCAAACGTAACGATCTCCTTACACCCCTCACAATCCCGGATCCTGATGATCTCCCGCCCATCCTCGTTTTCTTCGGCAGACTCGTTGTACGTTTCCTTGAGGTAAGCGCGGAGTTCCATGAGCGCGCGTGGAGCCAGGGAATAGTAACCCGCTTTGGACTTTTGGAAAAAGGCTTGCGAGACGAGTGTTTCCAGGACCTGATCTGCCTCAGCTATTGTTATTCCCGTATCAGCGCTGGCCTGGGTGTCGTCTGCATCGCCGTTGACCTGGCTCTGTCTGCTGTTTGCCTGACTCTGTCTGTTCCGGCGTGAGGTGCGAGCAAGCTGTGAGGCTTCTGTATGTTTCACCGCCATGACTTCGCGGATGTTGGTGTTATTTGTCTCAAACATTTGGTCGAGGACGCGTCTGATGTATGCGATTTCGTTTGCGGAGAAGGTGGTAGCGAATTGGGTGACGGTGTCGCTTGCGTTGTTAACGAGGGCGTAGATGCTTTCCTTGGTTTGCTGGTCGCGTGTTGATCGGATCTCGTAGTCGAAGGCTTCGATTTTGGCGTTTATGGTTTGTATGGTGGACGTGATGTTTGGCTGGGTTACGTCGCCGGCTGTCCATGGGCGTTCGGGGTCTGTCGGTGTTGTCAGCTTGTGTAATGGCAATGGCGTAAAGAAAACGGACTGTGTGCAGTCATCACATGGGCGAGGATAGACTTCGTTTCGTCTACTGTGAGGACGCTGTGCGTATGGAACGCTTGTAAGAATGCGCGATGGATCCCGTTGTAACCTTCTTCTTCGGCCGGGGCGCGCACGAAGGGCGATTCTTCGCGAGACATGTTGCGTGAGAAGGATGTTGGATAACTTTGAGTGAGATGTAAAGACGCGTAAGTTGACTGCGCGACAGCAGTTTGGTAAGTGCGGCAACGGATCACTTACGCGATCGCGGGGAACCTGAAAACGCGTCAACGCGAAACCACGTGAAGGTATCCCATGCCGCCTACCCGACCTGCGACCCGGAGCATTTCTCACGCCACCATTATACAACAGCATTTAGATGGGACAAGCTGCGCTTGCAATGTATGCAGTCACTATAGATCCACTGTCTTCACATACGGATATGTTCTGGAATCATGCCTCGGGCACCTAGTGATTCGTAGAAGATACAAAGACAAGCGCTCCGTGAGCCATCTGGTCACTGTGTTTGCCATCCTTCCATTCATGCTCATTCAAACTCGTGTATCTAGCAACTCCCGGCCGCCACCTGTGCAACTGCGTATAATACAATATCCTAACATTCCCAACCATAGCTCGTCAAACTCGTAGCCCTAATACTGTCCTTCCCATCTCATACAGGCAGATCAGCATTTCGCCTCGCACCGCTTATCGCTTCCAGTGCCTTGGCAATATATGGCCCAATCACCGGTACATTGCTGACGAAGCCCGCAATGGTCATGAGAAAGTCCCCAAACAGCACAAGTATGCCGTACAGTTCGATTATAAAACCGATGAAAGCCCAGCGCATCAGGATAAGCGATATACCAGCGACAAATGCCACTGTGCCTTTCCATTTCTGCTTGCGCGCGAAGAAGGCGACGGTTTTCGTTGTTCCGATGATGAGTGTGAGACCGATCAGAAAGAGTATCTATTGGGGGTATTAGAGAGGGTTCGATAGCGGAGGACTCGGTTCGAGGAGGTCGAAGACGTACGTTTCCCATTGCCAGCCTGTTCGCATGTCAGTAAAGGCTGTACGTATATGCAGAGTTGAAACGTACATTGCGCGATCAAAAAACATCATGACACCTCCCATCAGAAAGAGTCCGCCTGTTCATGCTGTCAATCTTCTGCTGAGTAGTGGGCGCATTCGTGGTGGTGGGCGCGTACCTACCCCCTGAACAGAAGGCGACCCCAATCTCTGTCATTGCTGTTAGCTCATGTCCTATGCGGTGACTGAGGCTGCATGTTTGCGTAACTTACTCTGGGTGTCTGAAAGCCACATAGTCGGCATCTTGGTATTTTGTTGTTTGTACAGTGCGCGGCGTGCGAAATTCCGTAGCGATGTGGAAGAAGACGGCGTAGGAGAGGAGAAGTAGTAGAGTGGCGCCTAGTCTCGATGTATATCTGGCATGAAGGTGCTACCTTTCGTCTTGCTGTCTCGTGTCCCCTTGCGAGTGAAGACGCGGCGCGCTCAATCGACGGTCGGCCCGAAGCTCACCCTTGCTAGCGCTGCAGTTCCCGCGGGTAATCGCATAAAATTCTGGTGGCATGCTCCTCAACCTCTACACCTCTCGAGTCCATCTAACGCAAGAGCAGCTAGACAAGGCTCTGATATTCATCAGGGAAGAGCAATCGATTTATTGTTCGCTTGTAGTTACAAGACACTCGAATTATCATTACAACATAGATCCCGCCCTGACAACAGCATGCTTCAAGCTGCTGTAACTAGGAATCCTCCCTCGAGGCCCTGGTATCCTGTCTTATGGGCGCAGAAGAATACTGGATCACGGTTAAGCCGGAGCACCTCCTTGAGCCACAAGCCGAGAGGCATGTGGTGGGTGGAGAGTAGTTTGACTTTGATGATCATACATAAACCTTGAATAAGACTCTATCTGAGCAGTGTTCCTCGCCCGGCTCAGAGGCATGTTGTTAGCTTACTTGGTCTCGCGCATATCAACGAATGGACGAGTAGTCGCATATTTGATGAGTTGAGCGATGCGCCACCCGTGCAAGACGCATGCCGATGAGTCGACTTTGGAGCAGCAATAGCTACGCCAGCACCGAGACATGCTCACTTCAAGACTGTGTGTGCACCTCTGGCGGCGAGATAACCCTCGGATACATTCTGCGGCATGGTCCGAATGCCTCCAAAGACCTCCTTGTTGTGATAGCGTAGACGCGTCTTGGGGTCGGTGTATGGCGCAGGAAGGCCGGTGATGTCGCAGTACTTCTTTTGACTGCTCGGGTGGAAGCTCGGGGCTGACTCGATGTTGGTGTATGTAGGCGCCGGCCCGGCAGCAGCCCTGCCGTTCTTCTCCAGCACCAGCGTGCTCAGGCTCTGGGCTGCTTGGGCGATGTTGGGTTGGCGGCCTGCGTTGCCTTCAGTGGCCACAGCAGGTGTTGAGTTGCCACTGTTGTTCTGCGTGGCCATTACTGAGGCTTCTTTGCGCGATGCCTCACCGAGAATCTGCTTGAGGTTCTTGTTGCGGCGTTGTGGAGGCTTCCAGTTGGGGTTGCGGAAAGGCTTGGGTACCGCGTAGACGTCAAGCTTGTCCAGGAGCGCTTGATGCGTCTTGTCGTCAGAGGCCGCTGTTAGGGGTGCCATATTGTGAGTTGTCAAGAAGCCAGCAAGTCGCAGTCGGTGGTCTCGTCGCGCTGTTCGCTTGCCGATGTCCAGGGATGTGTCTAGGTGTCGTGATGCTCGGGTGTACGTTGTGGCAAGAACGTTTGGGGACGTAGGAGAGTCTCGGTGTTTGTATCGCGATGGAGCTTGCGGAGGTGGAGCTCTTCCAAGGTTCCGTCTCGGGACCTGCATGTGCATCCTCTGCACTAACTGCTTTCATCCTCCCCACCAAACAGCTCCAACGCGTACTATCAACTGCAACACTATCGAGTCGCCAACATGGTAGGACGGCACAAGAAATCTTTTGTAAGCTGCGCGTAGATCTGACTGCGTTTCTAGGAAAGCCCTCACGAGCACCAACAGAGCCAGTTGCTCTCTCGCATCATTGTGAACGTCGTGAGTCAATTCAACATGTCGATGCACAACGAAAACAATGCTGACTACCGGAAAGGAGAAGCTGAACGAGGCCGTCATGATGTTGAACAAGAATCTGCAAGAGATCAACATCCAAAACATGGACACCGAGCTTGTGGCTCAGATGTTCAAGAACTACCAATCTAACGTTCTTTTCCACCTGGAAGGTATCTACATAGTCATACTGGGATGCTTTTGTAATAGCGCTAACGAGCCATAGCAACAAATGGTCTGAAGGATCCTGCTTAAGCATGCAAGATGAGATATACTTGGTGTGAAGGGGACAATACCCAAGGCAAGGCCAAGTCTGGTGAGAAATTCGATTACAGGACGTGGGGACAGCAAACAGGCCAGTAGATAGCAGTAATGAGATGTGATCATGTTAGCACTATGTGCAAGACTGCAATCCAGACCGTCGGCATGTGAAGTAGCGTACCTAACATACGGAGACGGGCTCGGACCACCGAGCATTGCAAGAGCCTCACCACACCGCAGTCGCCATGCCGCGCATCCTCAGCACCAATCGCGCTAGCCAGGCACACACGCCACATCTCCGACCCGCGACATGAGATAACGCCCTGATCTTGGACCTGTCGCATCCCCATCTCCATCTCCCACTGCACCACCATGGCTCCCTCGGCCATCGACGAGGCGCCGCAACTCGCAGGGCGCAATCCACCCAAACCTCCACCCAAGCTCTGGAGCGTGTCGGACCCGCCTTTTGAGGGCTTCCGGCCCATCGACAAGGAAGGCTGGTCGCGTAGCAACAGCGAAACCGCCATAGTCATCGACAATGGTATGTACAGGCTGCGCATGCGCCGAAGCTGCCATGCCGACTAACACACCACAGGCTCGTCAGCAGTCCGCGCCGGATGGTCCTTCGATTCCAAACCCCGATTGTCAGTACTACCCAACATGGCTAGGTATCGCGACCGCAAGCTCAACCGCACCTTTACCTTTGTTGGGTCAGATGTCTACGCCGACGGCACCGCGCGAGGTCAATCCAAGCCCGTCTATGAGCCTGGCAGCAACATCGTGAACAACTGGGATGTCATGGAGGGCGTGCTCGACTACTGCTTCGTCAAGATGGGTGTAGACGGCCGGTCCGGGCGCATCGACAGGCCCATCGTTATGACCGAGCCTGTTGCCAATTTGGGCTACTCAAGAAAGAGTACGTGCGCTTATACTGGATAATACCGTGTTGATAGCTAATGTGCATCCTACAGCCATGTCTGAAATACTCTTTGAGTGCTACGGCGCACCATCCGTCGCATACGGTATCGATTCGCTCTTCTCCTACTCCTACAACGGCGGTCGCAACGGTCTGGTCATGGACTCCTCATACACTTCCACACATGTTATCCCTGTGGTAGACTCCAAGCCGCTCCTATCACAAACTACTCGTCTGAACTGGGGACGCTTCCAGTCCGCGCAATACCTGCTGAAGCTATTGAGGTTGAAATACCCTACATTCCCCGGAAAGATCAGTGACAACCAGGCCGAAGATCTCGTTCGTGAGCACTGCTACGTATCACAAGACTATGAGAATGACCTCAGCAGCTATCTGGACTGGACGGGCCTCGAAGACCGAGATCATACTATCCAGTTCCCCTACACTGAGCAGATTGTAATACAAAAGACTGAAGAAGAGCTGGCTGCCGCAGCAGAAAAGCGGAAGGAGAGTGGTAGAAGATTGCAGGCTCAGGCTGCAAAGATGCGACTTGAAAAGCTGAAGAAGAAGGAAGAAGAGTTGGAGTGGTGCATACAACTGCAGGCGCAACTGGAGGAGATCACGACCAAGAAGGAAAAGGCACGCGTACTAGAGTCGAACGACTTTGACGACGAGAATCAGCTCAACAAGCGGGTCAAGGAACTGGAAGCTGCTATTAAGAAGGCTCGTAACAAGGACCTCGGCGACGTTGAAGAAGAACAAGTCGAAGTACCTACGTTCCCCCTGCTAGAAGTTCCGGATGATCAGCTCGACGAGGAGGGCATTAAGCAAAAGCGACAGCAGCGATTAATGAAGTCCAACTACGATGCACGCCAGCGTGCCAAGATCGAAAAGGAGAAGGAGAAGGCGCGCCAAGCAGAAGAGCAACGACTCGACGATCAACGGCGAGAGACAGACCCTCAAGGCTGGATAGAAGAACGCCGGATAGCCCGTCAAGCCATTATTCAGAAGATGAAGGACCGCGAGCGCCTCAAGGCTGAACTTGGAAACCGAAAGTCGCTCGCCAACCAAATGCGCATGAAGTCGATTGCCAATCTCGCGTCAGACGCACCCACTAAGAAACGGAGAAGAGGCGGCGGCGATGATGACACATTCGGTGCCGACGATGCAGACTGGGGCGTCTACCGCACCATCGCCACAGGCGAAGGCTCCGACGATGAAGAAGAGGAAGACCTCTCCAAGAACCTCAAGGAGATCGAATCCCAACTTCTCCAACACGACCCAAATTTCACCGAAGAATCGACTCGCGAAGCACAAACTGACTGGACAAAATCCATCCTCCACTCTTTCCTCCACGGTCCTTACCCTTACGATGCCGAAAGCCAAAAGGAAACGAACCAGATCCATCTCAACGTCGAACGCATTCGCGTACCAGAAGTAGTCTTCCAGCCCACCATCGCGGGTCTTGACCAAGCCGGCATCGTGGAGATTGCATCCAACATCCTCACAGAACGCCTGGCAGATTCGCCTCATCGCGACAATGTTCTGAAAGACATCTTCCTTACCGGCGGCAACACCATGTTCCAAGGCTTCGAAGAACGCCTGCGCTCTGAACTGCGCGCTGTATTACCCGCTGAGCAAGCAATCAATGTGAGGAAAGCAGGGGATTGCGTTCTGGATGCTTGGCGTGGAGCAGCGCAATGGGCGGGCAGGAAGGAATCGAAGCAACACTTTATTACTAGGCAGGAGTTCTTGGAAAAGGGTGCTGAGTACATCAAGGAGCATGATCAGGGGAATGCTGCGTATTAGGTTGCCTGTCTTGCGTGCGGGCATTGCGATGTGTGCAATTTGCTGAGTTTGTTTGTTCTCTTTCTGTCCTGGTAGTGGGAATCGTGTAGTATATAACTAGCCCCAGGACGTTGTTGTTATATGGGTCCGATAATATCATCATGAAGAGAAACCACTGGCACATGTACCGGATCACCGTTCCAACATTTGATTACTGAAGCACCATCTCCTTTCAGCGCATTCACCAGTACGAGTGTCCTTCATGTCGCAGTTATGCCATCATTCAGTGGTGACATACAGCCAAAGTACAATAGGAAGGTAAAATGCAATAGGATGCAATTCTCAAGTTATCTAAACAAAGTCACAAAACACTATCCCAGATCCCCTTATGCGCCGAAATGACGAGGACACCCATCCCAATGCATACCCATGTATATGCTCTAAGCCAAGCAATGCCGCATGCATGCAGAACGCCTCCCAATGAGCCCCAGTCTTACACCAATCAAGATGCATACGCCGCCCATTGCCCCGATTCCCTGGTCGTTAACAAATTCGTGTTTCTCATTTCCATATTATGATTGCGGGAACAAAGGTGTTTCCGTCGCAGGAAGATATCACCTGAGTCGCCGCGTTCTACGCAGACTTGGGATGTTGCTCCACAAGCCATTCCATTACGCTCTCGTAGCATAGCACAAACTGTCGCAGACTCTGTACCATGCTCAGACGCTGCAGTCTAAAGTCTTCCACCGTCTTTGCAATGAGATCGATGTCCTCATTGTTCACCCAGCTGTCGTCTTCACGCTCGTTCTTCGCGAGCTTATCGTTGGAGTCGGCATCCATTGGCGTGTTCTGCCTGGCGTTGCGAGCTTGTCGTTGCCGCTTGAGCATATCCAGGACCGAGTCGACTGTGCAGAAAGTACCCGTACGGCCACATCCAGCAGAGCAGTGGACAATGATCGGACGGCTGTTAGGCGGATCAGGCTGCGAAGGCGAGCCACCGTTGACAGAGCGGACGACGGCGTCTGTCTGCTCAATCAGACCGAGCAGGTGGGTGGGATGAGCCGGTGCGCCAAAGTCAGGCCAATGGGAATACTGCAGCTGTGTGATCTCACGCATACGTGCGAAAGGTTCGTCATCGTTTGACAAAGTGAACTTGCGAACGGTGACATAGGGCTGGTCTTGGCTGGGAGAGCCGGTAGTGGCTTCCTTGGTGAAGTTGGCGAGCTTCGGTGGGTTCGTTGACCGGCGCTGACCCATCGTTGGCCTCGATTGTTCCCTGTGACGGTAGATCTTCGATGGCTCCAAGGATGCCCTGCGTTCGCCAAGCGGGTTGAGGTGTAGAGGTCCATATCGCTTATCCGACCAGTAATTATGAGCCTTGACTTGTCCACCTTCTTGCTCGGCAGTCAGCATAACGATGACGCGAACATCCTGCTGCCACACAACGTTCCAGAAGTCCTATCAAAGAGTTAGTGAATGACATGGAGTGGGTTGGGAGGGAGCCTACCTTGAAAGTAGCTGGTATAGGTCCCTGCGTTGCAATGTAACGCTTGTTGGAATAGGCAGCTTGGACGTGGTTGGCATTGACATAATCGCAGCTTCCCTCAGCGACTCCTTCGAGCTTGACGCGTGTGTGTTCGTATGGCCAGATGTTGTTGTAGCGATTCTTCGAGCCCTTTTCGATACCTGCAATCTGAATGTGTTTCCCGGGACCTCCTGATGACGATGGTGCATTGTAGACGACCTCACCGGACAAGGCCTTTTGCATACGCTTCTGTTCGCGTTTCTCGATCTGCAAGAATCGCTCCGCGACGGTCTTGCCCTTGTCTTGCTCTTCGGAAGCAGTCTGAAGCCATTGGGGAAGGTCGTCTTCTACCGACTGCGTCATGCCGGATGGCTGCTTCACGGGCATCTGGCCAACACCACCAATGAGATCCATGTTCTGACGAATGTTGCCAAAGAAGGGGTTCGCAGCGTTCTGGGTTGCGGGCATAGGACATCCACCAATGACGGGCGCAACAGCAGGTAGGTCGGAGTTGAGATTGAGAGCAGCTGTACCCGATGTTGGACTTCCGGAGCTTTGGTGTGTAATCCAAGAAGGGAACCTCTCAGCGAATTCCGAGAAACCACCACGGATAATAAACGTGCCGCCCGACCAGCCTTCGTTGGTGAACTTCTTGAGCGTGTTAATGCAAGTTGTTGCGTCCTTCATCTGCGACGAGTTGGCGTCATATACTATGATGTGTTTGCTGCTCCTCCATCGCTCAAACTTGTCTCTTTGTTCATCGTCTTTGAAGGTCTCGGCTAGCTTCTGGACATTGAAGGATGCGCGTTTGAGCAGTGTCGTAGGAATGCAGAGGCTCAAGGCGCCTGTTATGCGGGCCTTTGCGTACTGTGTTGACACGCGCAGATCAAGCAGAAGGACCTCGTCTATGGAAGACTGTAGGATGTTGATGATGTGCTGAGCAGTGACCATGCTGGGGCCGCTGGTATTGCCTTCTTCCTCAAAATGTGCGGGTAGTGTCTCAGCGCGATGAGTAGTTATTGAGATGTGTGAAGGATGTGTCTGTTTCGAAGGTAGCGATGGCCTTGGGATGCGAGGTTCGGCGAACTGAGCTACGGCGTCTGAACGGCCAGGTCCATCAAAGCTGGCAGGAGAGTTGCGTCGTGGTCGGTCAGGGAACATGGAGGACTCCGTCGACAACATGCGCTTCGGGGAGCGTGGCTTGGGTGCGAACTCTTGCTCGTCGCTTGTGTCGCTCTTGTCGCCTGGGTGGTCGGGTGGTGGCATTGAGTGTGACTGGGGGTACGAGGGCTGCGCCGACTCGATGTTGTTGAAGAAGGGGCTCTTGGAGGATGCTTTCAGGCCGGGCGAGGCAAAGTCGAAGCTGCCCAGGGCAAACGCTCGGTTGTTCTCCGACTGTTTCCTAAATTGCTCGAATTCGGGATTCTGCTCCACGGGTATTATGCGTGGAGAGGCAGCGGCTGTCGAGCGCACATTGGACGTGGGCGGGCTCCAATTGCCGCGAATGTGCTGGGCCGCACTAGAGGAGAAGTGGTCGGCATTGCTGTTGACGGCCAGACCAAAGTAGTTAGGTGAGGGGGTCGAGGGTTCCTTCGTCTTCTGTGAAGCGACATGGCTCGGGGTTTTGGCTACCCCATTCATGCGGGGCGTGAGGGGGGGTAGCGCAGACGTCGGGTGCAGTGAGGCACTTGGCCTCGTCATGGGCGTCGATCCTGAGCCTCGTGGGCGAGAAGATGTGTGCGAAGAGCCTCTGGGCCTGGGCGACAGGGCGGGTGTAGACATGGTGCGATTGCCTTCACACGCGTCGGGAGCGTGAAGCGTCGAGGGGGCGGGAGGGGCAGGTTAGGTTGTTGTAGGAGATAGGTGCATGAATATGGGGGACTTGAAATGCAGGAGTGGTTGGTGCGGTGCAGGTGGGTGAAGGGTCTAGGGCTTGGTTTGGTGGGGATTGCCGCTGTGCTGAGCAATGACGTAGGTGCAGTGAGGCAATCTCCCTTGCAGCGAGGGCACGAGCGATGATGTGCAGGCACAGCCCAGGGTGCTGCCGAATGCGCGCACAAAGTCGCCCAGAAGCGCCGAATTGATTCACAGTCAGATGCGATGCCACACGCTGCGGCTGAGTCGACAGTAGGGCGAGGCGGCGCAAAGCAGTGCGTAGGCGTGATGTCGTCAGGGCAGGAAAAGCTGGCTAGAGGCCGCCGCTGCAGGGTCTAGGAGAACCAGCAAAGGGGTGCCTGAAAACAAAACGGTCCCGTGACTCTAGCCGGTAGGGCTGACAAGAGAGCGGAAACGGACGACAGGCCCAGCGGAGGGGCGAACGAGACGGGGCGGAGAGCGGAAAGATCGAGGAGACAGAAGCTGCTGTATCGGCGATCGAGCAACTTAAGAGGAATCGACGAAAAAGCCACTTCCAAGGCACGGCTACGACGACTAGCTGGCCTGCTCTGGGCCCGACAATCGCATGCTAAAACCGCCTTGTCAGCTGTATGGGCTATCGTCGACCGGCCCCTGGTCTATTGCGACATTTGCGAATCTAGCGTCACCGGCCAGGCCAACGGCTGCGAGACGCCGCAACGACTGTCTGACTTCTCCCACCACGTCCGCTGTGGCCAGCCCTGCGGTGCACCTGATCGAGGGCAACACACCGAGATACTGCCTCAAGTCCTCGCAGAAACCTGTTGTGGGCATCCGCGCGCGCCGGTAGCCAGCATGCAATCCTGAAACCTCTCGACAGGCCCCACCGCAAGACGCTCGGGGACCCTTACATTGACGATCAGCACCCGAGAACCGTGCAGAGGAGGAGGCTACGTCTGCATCCAGGAAACTCGCCGTCGCTCTTTGCCGAAAGGGTAGGTGGGGATGCTAGATAGCACGCGCGAGGCGATTCGGCTGCTTCACATCTTCTAGAGCGACTGATGGACAGCTTCTGCCACCAAACCCAGACCGCCACTTTGTCGCGCCAACGACATCAGCCGCCAATGGCGACCAAGCAGGCATCGTGCTCTGGCTAGATCCTGGTTGCGCATGCTGTTCGGGCTGCAGATCCGTAGTTCGTACTGCCACATGGTTCGGACACTACGAGTACTGCCCAACTCGCTCGATACGTGTCTGAAATCCACAAACATTGCAGCTCTGCACAGGATCAAGGAATACATCATCTGCAGCCGGGTGGATGTCACGTTCAAAATGGCGTGTTTCTGCATACCGCGTATGACGCGACCACTCGGTACGACATGCCGCGCGCTCGTGACATGTTCGACTTGTTTGAATAACACCGTCCGGCCAAAGACTAGAGCCGTTGAGCGATATTTAAATTTCGGCACAAATAGCCACCAATGCCTCACAAGGGGCTTCTCTAGACCAAGGTGTCAAACAGAAGCTTGTCTGCATACATGAGCGGTCCGCGGTGCTGCCGAAGAGAACCTACCGAACATGCATTCCCGCTATCTCCGCATCACCGTCACCAGTCGCCAAAAATAGACGGCATATCGTGATGTATGTATTGTTTGTATTGAACGATGTTGTATGAATTTGCGATGCATCTAAATGCCTAAGTAAGAACCCATGCGCCTGGATATAATGCCTTCCTTTACGCCTCCTTTACACTTGAACCATAAAGTCAAAATAATATTGCCTAGTCACTTCCTACCTTGCGTCTCTACATTTCCATTCTCTCTGTCACAGGAGATTCTGAAGTCGTCTTCCCGTGTTTCTTCGACCTGTCATAACATATGAGCCCAAAGAAGCCTTCGGATGTGCATGACGTGCTGGTCGGGGTAGCTGTGGGTGTTGGCTTGGGTGTGTGATGTGTCTTTGCAGGCGGCTCGTCACCGTCGAGGCAGCCGCCAAACCAGCCTGGATACTTGCACGATGAGGTAGAGGTAGGTGTCGCCGAGGTTGTTGTGACAGTAGGTGCTGGAGCAGGTGTGGTAGTGATTGTCATGGTTGTAGATGTCGTGTCCTCATCTTTACAGCCAAACCAACCGGGTGTCTTACACGTCGAGGTCGATGATGTCGTCGTAATCGTAGTCTTGGTGTGTGATCTGGTCGTGGAATCCTCGTCAAGACAGCCCCACCAACCTGGCGTCTTGCAAGTTTCAGTTCTTGTGCGACTGGACCTGGTTGATGTTGATGTGGCTGTCGGCTTTGAGCTCCTGGTAGTAGTAGTCTCGGTGCCGTTGCTGTCAAAGTACTCCCACATATAGCAGTCAGTGCAATCAACGTAAGCCTCACATTTAGGAGGCGCATCGTACTTGAGTATAACGTCTCGGATGACTTCGACAATCTTGTGGGTGCCGATGCCCATGCGCCAGCCGAAGTCTTTGACTGTATCGTATACACATTTCTGCCCGGTGTGACAGACACTCTGCAGAGCATATCCACCAATGGTGCAGGCGCTGGTGGCCTGATTACACGCTCCCATGTATATGGGGTCTGCGGTATGCCCAAAGTGAAAACCACCGGTGAACTTGCGCTGCTGTAGTGAACCGATTTGGTGGCCAGGGGGAACGGGTAGCCCGAGACGTGACGCTGGCATGGCTTCGGGCACAGCCTCGAAGGTGACGGCCGGATGTCCAAATGTAAGGGAAAGAAAGGACGAAACAGAACCACCTAGGGAGTGTCCGGACATCCAGATCTCAGCATCCGGATACAGTGCTGTGACATTGTGGTAGAGGTCCTGTGCAGCGTAGTAGTAGCGGTTCTTCTCTCGCAGCGCAGTGACTAGACAGGTAGAGTTGCAGGTGTAGGCCGACGTTTGACAGTCACAGACCTGTCGCCACAAGTACTGTCCCCCCTGACCGCAGCAGCAGCTGAAGAACAGGTTATCGTTGATCTTGTCGTTGGTAGTGGTTTCGGAACCATCGAACATGGCAGGCGACGTGCCCTTCAAGCCTATGACGACTGTCGAGTTCTCGGTGTCGGCGAAGATGTGCCCGCGCAGACCGTCGGATTCCCAGCCAAAGTCTTCTGTGTAGTTGAAGCCGCCGCCAACAGGCTCCCACTCGCCCGTGCCGGGTTCGAGTATGTAGGCGTCCGAGGCCATGCGTGCGAAGCTCAGGACGGTCTCGCGGTCCGTCACGTTGGGGCCTGCAATCTCGTCGATAGTCCAGTCTTCTTCCGGCAGCTCCACGCCTCTCCCAGTGATGCGGCCCCATTCTAGTATGCCGGTGATGGTCTCCTTGCTCCTATCGGCCAGACGCTGTATGCTCATGGCCTCGGACTTGACGCGCAACCGCGGCACGGGCTCGCGACTGGCCGCTTCGTCGTCGTGGGCGGTCCATACTGCGGCGTGCTCTGGAACATCGAGTCGCCGGTGCAGCTCGGGGTATTTGTAGGTGCCGTGGTGGAAGATGTGGCGCAGCGTAAAGTCCTTGTCGGCGTGGGGAGTGCTGTGCGGGAGAGGCGGCGGCGGCATCACGGGCATGTCGGCCGCGCTCGCAACGCTTGCGGCGACGAACGACAGCAGGAAGGAAGCGGCCACGCGCGAGGCGGAGGGGCAGGGTCTTGGGCGTCGCATGGTGGATCTCTGGTTGTAAGAGAGGGAGTTGCAACGAGCAACCTGCGCAGAGGAGGCGTTAGCAGGCGCCAACTGAGATGGCTGCCTCCGTCGGACATCGATGACGATCGATGGTTCACTTGACCCCAGGCCTGCCCAGCTCCTTTTCACGTGCGCGCCGTGCGGGGAGCTCCCCCATAGCTCCATCACCACCAAGACGGCGCCTCTTCGCCCTGTCGCCCGCTTCCGTCACCCGCTAGTAAGCACAATCGTTCAACACATTGCTCAAGTGCTCACCCGCGACTTTCGGTTCCCTCGGAAGTGCCGTGCTGCCGCATGACGTGAACGCATGCGCTTCGTCCACGCACCGTTTCACAGCAGCCTCCTTCCAATGCAGGCACACGACACTTTTAGATTTCCATTAGACCTTCTGCAGCAATAACACCATGGCCGACCGGCCTAGAAACTTGCATCCCTCACGCTCCTTCACGCGCCTCGACTCTGCCCCCAAGAGCCCCCTCTCGCGCAGCCGAGCGAATACGCTGCAAGGACCGACTGCGTCAGACATGCTCGATCCGCTAAAGGCTGCCATGGTGCCCGAGGAAGACGAGAACCCCGACGGCGACGTGTTTGCAAAGAAGGAGGACGAGGACGAGCACCAAGACAGCGAAGAGCCCAAAGTGCCCGACACTTTCGAGGAGCTGCCTATCGAGATCCGTAGCTTGACCGAGAGGTACCTACTGCTGCCCATAGCATGCATCGTCCTCTGATAGTAACACCCTTAGATTCCTCGAATCCCTCACAGCCAAAGTGCATCCCACCCCTCTGTCCGCCGAAGCTCTCGCCGACCTCTTCCAAGACTTCTACGGACGCGCCTCCGCGAAGATAAGCACACACATAGCCACTCTCTCTGCTCGCCTAACGAGCGACAACTATGTCGCGAATGCGAAGAAAGCGTCGGCTTCGTCGAGCAAGCCATCGTCGATAAGAAAGGGTAGCGACCCGTCAGGGGAACAACAAATGCTCAGTGCCACTGAAATGGCCGACCGCAAGAAAGCGCGCAGGTCGCTCGAGCTCAAGCGGTCCGCACTAGAAGAGGCCGTCGAGCGCGCCGTATGCGAGAAGGTCTACCAGAGGATATGGCGGCACAGGAGTACTGATGACGAGGAAAGGGATCATAAACTCAGATCACGCACAGCTGCTCTATCCCTCGTGGGCATTGGTCTAAAGGAACTCCTGATGACTGGCGAGGAGTTGACCGAGGAAGAGCGCCAGAAAGCCAAGGAGAAGGAGCCCGAGATTCGCGAGTACCTATCTGCAGCACGCGAAGACATCCTAAAGATGAATGAGGAGAAGTACCCGCTGGGCAAGGTCCAACATTTGACTGCTGCACACAAGTCCATTGTCGAAGCTCTGTCCAAGATATTCCCTTCGACCTCGTCTGCTGATGAAATCCTGCCAACCCTCATTTACGCCCTCATTACTATGCCACCCGTCAACTTGAACGTAATTAGCGATCTAAACTTCATCCATCGTTTCCGCGGTTCAACTCGCATGGATGGTGAAACTGCATATTGCTTGGTTAATCTCGAGGCAGCCATCTCATTCCTGGAAACCGTCGATCTTTCTTCGTTGCGCGCCGACGAAGTCACTCCCGCAAAACCAGATTCCAGACCTTCAACTCCCAAATCCGAGATCACCCCAATGTCTCTTGGACTTTCGGATGCGCCAGATCTCATCCAGACCCCAGCCACGCCCATCTCCAAGACAATTCCCAAAGAACCCTCCAGCCCAACGACCACTAAAGCTCAGCGTCGCTTGAGTAACCTTATTCAAACACAGACCAACAAGATCGAGGCTGCCTCTGATGCCGTTCGGGACTCGATTCTTGATTCTGCTGACCAGGCACTTGGGAGAATCAACAACACCTTGGACACCAGCTTCAAATTCTTCTTTGGTGGTCTAAAGGAGAAGAATCCCGATGGCCCTGTGCAAGAACAGCCAGTACTTCCCAAGACACTGGAAGATGCAAGGAAGCTCGTGAGCTCCCCAACTCGCGCAGAGCGCGATGAAGACAGCTTGAGTGTCAGTGCAGCAAGTTCAGTGCAGGGTGATGAGCCAACAGAGGCTCCAATTAGCAGAGGACTCGATGCCAAGATGGCTGATCTCTTTGCTGGTAGGAGGCAGATCAGAGATCGCAGCGTCGATTCTACCAAGTCCGGCGGTAGCAACAGTGGGCGACGCGTTGCATTCGCCCCAGGCCAGAGCGTAGAGGAGAAGACACCGTCGCCAGCTCCGATCAAGGCAGATCCTCCAACACCGAGCAACACCTCCGCGGTGGATTCTCTGCGCAATATGGGCAACAACTTCAACCCCTTAAACCGCTTTCCCAGCATGAATGTACTGCCTCGCTTTGCGCGCGCTGTAAGCAATAATAGCACACCTGTTCTCCCCTCACCGGGCCAGGAACAAGCGAAAGCATCGCCTTCCCCAGAACCACTCAGTCGTACAGCCACGAACGAGTTGCCACCAGTAGATGAAAAGGGTGCAAGGGCGATCGCGGCTTTGGAGCAACTAAAGAAGACCACACCACCAGCGAAGCGCTTTCTGGAAGCCAAAGATGCCCAGGAGTTGAAGTTAAAGGAGGTTGACGAGCTGTTGAAAGAGTATCAAAGATTGGCGGGTGCATTACGAGGAGCAATTAACTACTGAAATACATCACATATTTGGTTGCAATGACGTGCATAAACATGCAAGACACGAAGCTTTGGTAATAGATTTGTCTGTGTGGATTTGAGTAGCATAATGTAACGTCCTGTTGTTTCGCGATGACGGTACTTGCAACATACATACTGCGCCGCAGATGGTGGTTGGGGTTCGGCCAAAACGGGGGATACCGGATGGGGAAGGGGCAACCAGCGCGCACGGACTGTAAACAAGCAACCACAACACACAATTGCGCGCTCCGGCGAACACCAGACACCGCATTTCCCTAATCGCAAACATGGCGGAACCAATGTCGAATCTTTCGCCGGAGAAGCTCAATACTTACTCTGACAACATCATCGTCGACGATATTGATATGGCGTACAACGATCCGCCCTCGTCGCCTTTCGTCGAACACATCGGAGTCCAAGACCAGGAGAACATTGCCCCTGGAGCAGCAGCCACACCGGTGAAGCCGCTAATAGACTTTGAGGACAGCGTGCCCCAATCCGCTTTCAGAGTGTCTCCCGAGAAGAAATTTGGGTTGAAGGAGCGCACAAGCCCAATGAAGACACTGCCAGCAAAGAATTTGATGGACGACTTTGAAGACCCGGCACTTAAAACTGGCAGTGCGGATCGACAGACTCCCCAGAAGAACATCTCGCCCATCAAGGAGATTGCTACCGAGCGACGCGAGTCCGCAATGAGTAGCCACTCCTACAAAAGCCAATCGCCCTCGAAATCGTCACGCGTACCTTCGCCCGAAACGGTCCAGCGCAAGCCAACCCATACACATCAGCGGCAAACATCGGTCACACCGTCAAAGCGACCGGCCTCTTCTCACCAAGAGTCTCCGCTCCGCGACAACGAGGGCTTGACTACCGCGATGAAGTTCATGGAGGATAGCAACTTTAAAACACGCGAGACACCCAGAAAGCGAACATCTCGGGGCCACGAATTTGAGATCGATCTGAGCATGGACAACACGGACTTCAATCCAGACGGGCCAGAGCCAACATCCTTGGACATCGATGATACCTGCTTCAGCAACTTCTCAGAGATGCCGGGGATCGATATGACGAAATTCGCATCCCTGAAACAGAGCCCAACAAAGAGCGGCATGCCAGATGTAAGTCCATGTGCTGTTGATCTCACGTAGGATACTAACAGTTTGAAAGGCTACACCTCGCGCTCGCCCTCAAATGACACCCTCTACGGTCCGCCGCTCGGAACGCACTCCCAGTCCCACGCCACGGCGCGCGTATAACGATAACGATACCACAAATTTACTCTTGGACTTTACCGCCCAGATTGAATCCTTCTCTTCATCCCGCCGTGCGTCACCCGGACGCGGGCGCAATTCGCCTAGCAAGTCTATTACAGAGCCAAATCTCCGCTCCTATTACCGAGACCAGCGATCGCCGGCCAAGGGTGGATCGCAAGTACCTGCAACACCAAGCCAGAGAAGCCAAATGTTGAATTTGTTGGATTTTGAGCTGCCTCCACCGCCTACACCACGATCGCTACCTACTGTCACCATCCGAGAGCTTGAGTCTGTAAAGTCCCAGTTTCAGTCTCAGGTGTCGTCTCTCACCGCCAGCTTGTCTGGAAAAGAGGCTGAGATCGACGCTCTTTCCAAAGCTATCGCCGATGCTGAACGCCGAGTTGGCGAAGCCCAAGAGACCGTCCGTGACGAACGCTCAGCTCGCGAATATGCAGAGACACAAATGGTTGACTGGAAATCAAAAGGCGAAGAGGTCCAGAAACTGCTGCAGGACGTCCAGGCTGAGATGGCACGCAACGACGCTGAGCGCGAAGATCTCCTAGCGAGGTTGGCCGATGCAGAGAAGCGTGCTGATGATGCAGAGAGCCGCTCGTCTGAGCTTGAAACCAAGGTCATCGAGGCTGAAAGCAAGAACGTCGACATGACGACTTTCATCAACAACGATGACGGCGATGAGAACAAGAAGGTTTACTCAGAACTTGAATGCCAATCTGCTATTGCCGAGAAGGTCAATGAGATTGCACGCGACCTACACACAGCCTACAAGGCTAAACACGAGAAGAAGATCAAAGCCCTCAAGGACAATTACCAGAAGAAGGCCGACGAAAAATGCAAAGAGCTTCGGGCGCAGATTGCTAGTCTCGAAGGGCAAGTGGAAGACGCAGAGAAGAAGCGTGACAACACTTTCAGTAGGATCAATCCAGGCCAGCATGACTCCAGGGACGAGAGCCAAGGAGCGTCTCCCTCAAAGACCACACGAAACGCCGAAGACGCTCAAATGCTAGAAGCGCAGAGAGCTGAAATCGAGAACCTCAAGGCTAGACTCGCCGGGCTTCAGTCGGAACTTCAGTCTCTTCGCAAATCCCACGATACCCTTGTTGAAGACCTTGAAGCTGAGCGCATCGAGAAAGGCGAGCTCGTAGCGGCCGCCGAACAGATGCTTTCCATGTGCGGAGAAAAGATGGAAGAGATGCAACAAGAAGACCTTCGCCGCTCACAAATGGCTTCCGCACCACCTGCCGCCCCCCAACAACAAGCGCCGCCTCAGCAAGCAATGCGCAACACGGGTTTCCTGGCCGGTGGCCCCGGTGCCTCACGCCCCGGATCCGCACTGGGCGGTGGACGTCCCGGCAGTGCGATGGGTGACCGTCTAGGTGCCATGAACGAGCGCACCGGCAGTGGAATCGCTAAACCATCAGGACTTCGCGCACCAGGTGGCCTTAAGTTCCAAGGTGCTCCCGGTTTGAACCGGAGTCAAAGTGGTGGGAAGAGCAGGTTACTGTCCAACATCGAGCGCATGGGTGGGGGAAAGACACAGGAATAGAATACCTGGCCTCCTATTGTACGTGCTATGAAGGGTCTTGGATACGAGGTACCGGTCGCGAGGTTGGGATCAGACTTGGGTATATGGAGATCCCAATGAAAATATGGGGTCAAGAGGGTGTATTTCCGGCGGTGTATATTGGAGTCACTTGGTTACGATGATGACTTGGATGCTGGCGTTGTTTGGGACTCATCAGTCAAGCTCTTTCGTGTCTATTGTTGCCCGCTATCCATGTTGAAATGTATTTATTGTGTTTCTCAAATACGTTAGAGCGCGAACTCGTGGTCATACCACGCAGGTGTATGCAATCGAATCTTCCCACCAGTCTACGCTCTCACCAGCCATGCTCATATGTCTCATCCGCTCTCCAGTTCCCATAAACCTCAGCATTCCCTTCAAGGAAGTGTATTGGCTTGTTCCACCTAGGAGTATCGCCCTATTTAGATCTATCTGACCTTTTGCGCGCTTTCGCGCTGTCACGTGACGTCTCGGAATCGGCCTAGCGCACATCACACGCACGAGTTGTTCAGGACTATCATCCTAATCTCATGACACTTACATCTACATAATACAAATATACCTGCGACCATTTGCTTGTCTACACTCCATCCAAAGCGTCCACCATGGTCCGATAATCGATCATCAACGCGATCCATGAGACGCGTCCGTGCTAGCGACTAACGAAATGGTCACGTCATGTCGTCAGCCTCTCCACTACGACATTGAGTACCGCGAGAGGCTTTTTCTTGTGTCATTCACTACCATCATGACATAGCCGAGGCGAAGCACCGCGTTGTACGCAACTATGTGGATGCGGGTAAATTGCATGTGGCTGGATGTCTGGGCTACGTGTGATGTAGCCGTCGAACAAAGATGCAATTTCATCATAGTAATATGCGAATTGTTGTGACGGAGCACTGACGACATATACACGATCCTGACCTCGAGATCTTGGCATATAAAGTGCTCAGTCGATAGGTTACTGGTGAGCACAGCAGCATCTTTCTAATCCGAGACGACTATCGACCTTATCACATATAAATACCCGTCTCAACCCACTCGCACAAACCAAGCAATATCTGGCAACGACAACCCCGGAAACTTTGCGAACCGTCCCAAGGACGAAGTCAAGGCCGCAGCACAGAAAGGTGGAGAGCACCCCCATAGCGGCGGTTTCGCATCTATGGATGCTGACAAGCGTAAGTGTACATTTGTATACTAAATAGCTAGGATTGACATGACTACAGAACACGACATCGCCTCTATGGGCGGCAAGGCCTCATCTGGCAGTTTCGAGCCCGGCAGTGAGAAGGCTAAGGAGGCCGGCAGGAAGGGTGGACAATCGTCTTAGATGCTCCTCTGTCCCTCAATCTGGCACGAGTGTAGCAATGATATTTCTCCTGGTTTGCACCCAATAGGATGACTGTAGAACCTTGAGTAGTCGCCAATGAAGTAATTGTAATAAGTATCAGTGCACGAATTCATAAATGTGAAGTCTGTTTAGTTGCGAAAGTGATCAATTGTTTGCAGTGTTGCCAGGGCTCTACAATGTGTCCCTTCAGGCTCTGACGCAGCCCAACCGTCATAAGTTATGTGCGTGAACGTCGTGAAGCCTCCCATGTGTGACGAAAACGCCAATCCATCCCGAATCTAGTGTGTAAAAGTTTGGGAGCATAGGGTGATCCCCACTGTGCTTTAAGAAGAAGTAAAACGTATCCCAGCGTTCAGGAACATGATGAACGAAAGTGAAGAAGTGAAAGATAAGGTATGAGGAAATATGGACTTAAACCGACACACCTAACCGTACATGTCGCAGCTCATCATCTTGATCTCATACTCGCTCTGGCCCTCGACGACACCGCAGTTAACGTCCCAGCCTAGCTCGAAAGTGTCGCTCTCCGGCATGCGGTCCTTGGCACCGGGTGCGCAGTTGGCATCGGGAGTATAGTACGAGACCTCCATGGCAGGAGCAGAGTTCCAGTCGCAAGCATCGACACGCTTGTAGAAAGTACGGCGATGCATGCGCAGAGCCTTGCGTTCAATGGCCTTGTTGGCAGAATCGCAAGCGCAACGGGCTGCGAGAGTAAGCTCGTCGCGGCGGCACTCACAGCTCGAACCGTCTACTGCATAGCGGCGGGTGTTCGCCTTGACCTCCTTGTGAGGACGGTTCCACCAGTGACCACGATCAGAGTTGTCGCTCTGCTCGGCTGTGGGTGTCTCTGTAGCCTGGTATTGCTCGTAGATGGTGGTCGCTACAACGGTGGTAACGACAACAGCCGGTGGGCCGTTCTCAACAGGAGTAGGGGCCGGTGGCTGCTCGTATCGCTCACCATCATCTTCTTCCTCTTCGTCCTCAGCAGGTGCCTCAGGCTGTGCGTAGGTTGGCTCGGGAGTCTCTTCGGGCTCAGTCTCAGAGTAAGCGGGTTGTTCGGGCTGAGTTGCAGACTGTGATGGTTCACTGGGCTCACTGGTATCGCCAGAGCCAGAGCCGGAACCGGATCCACCGATGTGGACCTTGGCACAGTTTTCGAAGGCCTCGTGCTCACGGTTGAGCCAGACCCAGATGAAGATGGCATCGCCTTCTGGCATGTTGGTGGGGACTTTGAAGTCGAAGGTCTGGGCCTCGGGAGATCCATCCTCGGTGGCATGCGGGCAAGCGCCGTGGTATGAGGCGGCCATCTTCCATGTCTTTCCCTTGTCGGTGGAGAAGCCAACCTGGCAAGAGCCTCCGTAGTGGGTGCCGCCAGGTGCCTCGGGGTCGTAGTCGTAGTCGGTGAGTTGGAAGTAGGCGTCTTGACCAGGCTGCCAGGTAACAGTGGCATCCTCGGTGTCGAACTTGTCGAGATGGCCACGGCAAAGGCCAGGAGAGGGCTTGCTGTCACCGCCATCGGGGCCGCAGCAGCCAAGCGGATAGTTGAACTGTGGATCTAGCTCCGTAGATTGTGGGTTGATGGAAGGAGCGCCTCCTAGAGGAGCTGGGTAGTACATGGACATATGGGCCTGAGCAGCGCCAGCCAGGGCGAGAACAGAAAATATGTTTGTGTACATGGTTGAGTTTGTTGGTGGATTCGTAAAGACCGTGTACGTAGAGAGTGACTTTTGGGGGGTTATCAAATGAAGAACTTCTAGACTTCAAGTGCTGGTGGCTCCACAACGGTGGTCTGTTGACAATGTTCCACTGTGAATACAGGAAGTGTATAGAAGTATTTCCTATTTAGCAACAAAAAAGTCCAGTGAATAAGAAAAAGACGACCCAGCGTTTTCGAATGCAAAAGAGTGAAGTGTAGAATGAATGACGACGAAGGCTAGCTTGTCAGGAGGGACTGTGTGTCACTGGAAGTGATGGCCTCTTCCACATCGGGCGGCTTTCATCCTTTATATCATCTGCTGACGACTGACCAAGACTACCGTCGGGCTCGTCTACGTTCCCGTTTAGCACGGTCACTCTCAAGCGCCTCGAGGCCGTTGCGGGACCAGCATGCTAGTCGAATTTGCTCAGCAGTGGCATCTCCTGACCAGGCCGCGGCCAATGTGCGTAAGGCCAGCTCGCGTGCGTGCGGATACGAAGTTGGCCTTACTGTTTCGAAACAGCGAAGCGCGGGAGTCTGTGGGGTTTCGGAGCAGCTCCGTTCAGCACCGCAAAGGTGTTTTGTCTGTTCCTGGCTGACGAGCTTCGGACTTGGTTTCACGTCTTGCTTTTTCGAGCGTAGCAACGGCGCTTGTTTCTGCCAAGGTCGTTAGGGCGGGGGAATCACATACGAGATTCTGCCTGCTGTTTAAACTCCATCTTGTGATGATTAGCAAAGAACCCGAGGGCCCTTGTTTCACCATCAGAGATCTTCAGAATTCTTCGGTTCTCGGGCTGACGTGCAGGGAATGCATCGGCACGACATCAAGTCATATCGATAAGATCGCTCGCTTCATCTAACCACGTGCGCGTGATAATCCTTGCCGATATTTGCTTTCACTGTAGTGTTGTCTTTCCCATTCTGTGATTGTTCTCCGTTACGGGCTCCGATGCTGTATACATGGTCGTCAACAAATGCAGCGCTGCGCGACACAATTTGCCACAAGATGCCGTCGAAGCGGGCTGCGGCTGCCGTCATGCGACGCCTGCCGCCTTTCGCAACTGTTATACCTGAGTCTAGCTTTTCACCATTTCAACCGGCCGGGTGTCATCGTGTACCCACAGCAGGCTGCAGGGGAGCTTGGTGACACGCTTCCAAGCATCCGTCCGCACCAGAACTGGTTATACAGCCTCGGGAATATCGGCACTGGGCATCGAAGGCGGCATCTAGGCACGACTTCCAAATTCAGTTTTGTTGGACGCAGCGTGATACGAGGAGGGTCTCCTGAATAATGTCAAGACTCTGGCAGGTTCCACGAGGACTTTCAGGAGAACGCCGCTTGCTTGGCCGCTACCATGGCATCGGCTCTCCTCGCCGTGGCCTCAAACCGGGCGTCATCGTCAACTGTGACAGAAAAGACGTGCCTGGGTGGCATCATCATACGGTATATTTGACAGCATCCTGGTTCCATTTCACTGGAAACACCCATGACCCGAGAAAACCGTTTGTAGCATCCCAGCTCCTAAATTACCTACCCCGTCAATCTCAGCCAGACTTCTGATATTGCAGAATCCCGCGCCATTTTAGACCAGCCATTCCATGGCCCAGGCTGACAAACACAGACTTGCCTTGAAGCGCCTGGTGGGACAGCTAACGAGTTCCACCAACCCGAGCCGCCCGAGTGTTTCACCTCGACACCACCTAACTTATCGATTGGAGAGTGATATCTGCACGGATACCTATCGCGGGCCGCCAGTGTGAGTGACAGGCGAGATGTTCCTTGTCTCGCTTCCCCGGGTCCCCCGGGACACCTCTTCACTAGAGCCCACTTTTTATACTCGACTTGTCTACCGGGGCGTTTGTGGGATGCCCTGGAATCTGGTGTGAGCCAATGACATACCGTAAAGCCGTTGAAGTAAAAAAGCAAATCTTACAACTGACTGTGATGCGCCTCGCAGCTATGACGCCCACGAAATCCGTAACACCGTGATCCTGCCCACAGACTCAGGGACCTGCTCTGCCCAGTACTTCAACATCTCGAGAGGTGTGCTGCACTCTTGCATGAGAAGCAAACCACACAAAATATGTAAAATTTACTGTGTCGGTTTCACTATCTCGAAGACCCTGGCGTCGGATTTTCCCTCGATTTAGAGACTTCTTTCAAAAAAGCATAGCAAAACATCCCTCCCATCGGTATCCAGTACTTCTAGCCGCTGGGGAATACGCACGACCGTTGGCAGCACATCATTCGAATTAAAAGGCACCGTTGTATCCTTAGCGTTGCAGCTTGTCAGGTCGCGTGTGCCTGCTTTGTCGTAGCACTCTGTTCCAGATTCCTAAGGCCTGTCCCACCCACTAGGTACCCGTGTGTCCGAGATCACCCTCCACCCTGATACCAAGGTAGAGTACCAATGAGCCACAAAACCTATACAAGAAAATAATCGCGAAGAAACATGTGACTGATTGCGCCTCGGCTGAGGTGATATGTTTCAGTTCCTTCGGCAGACCATGAAATCCACAAGCACTGAACTTCCACCACTCAGCTTTCCTCCTCCCCACCCACCATCTCATGGTCTTACCCTCCGGTCCCAAGCAATGAGGCATAGTCTGCAGCCTATTCTCTGAGGTGCAGCATAGGCCGTCTAAAATCCGGCAACTGAGTCGTTTTGTCCAGACTAACATACTCTTTGCAGTATACGCCGTTATGAATATGATGCAGAATGATGAAGAGAGCGGATATGAACCCGTGCGTCGTTACCTTGCATATCTCAAACCTGGAATTACTGCGCTTTACTGCACATGATTGAACCCAGTCCCCCACTCTGCATACTTGTCTTAAGTGAAGGCTGTGTCCAGCTGTGCAGTGATAGACTGATATGTCGCTAAATTGTATCCTACGAGTTCACGTACTCGGCGATCGGAATGTAGGATACTTGAATGTATATACTGTTCAGCGCACGGATGAGACAGGCGTACACAAGGATGACTAAGTCTTCTCTTTCGTACTCAAGGCTGAAGTTCCGCTGGCCGAGATAGAGACAGGTGTAGGATGACACCCTCCATTGCTTTCACGCATCCATCTTCTCAGCTGCTTATCTGTCCACATTGAACGTTTGAGAGATGATGTATATCGTACCACTGGACGTATTGCTTCGGTACTGCTGCTTGGAAGATCAATTTTGGCAAGTCAATAGAACAAGATGATATTGACAGCTGGTAACACTGGTATACGAGCACTTTTGCTCGACATTGACTTACTTCAATGTGCCCAGCAGCTTCACAACGTTGATTTGCCGGCTAATGAACGTCGACTTATGCTCTGCTACCCTGTAAATAGTAAGCCGTCGCTAAGGACGTAATCGGCAATCCCTTCTTGTGTGCCGACAACGACATGTCTTCCACGAACAACGATCTTGTTATCCTGACGCACATCAATGAGCTCGATGGTAAACTTGTGCTGAAATATGATATTCTTCGGGTTCACAAAAAAACAGCAAAGACATTTCGAAGCGCGAAGAGGACCCCTCCCGGACATGATCCGCAAAATGTCACTGCTCCTGGTGTTTTCAAACATACTAGATCTTGAGCTTGACCTGACATGTATGACAAGAGTGAACACTCCGAATTGAAGCGAGACGTGTCTCCTCTCCGTGTTGCTAGTTGAGGTCGTATGCACTGATCTATTGTCCACGCTTAACGCTTATTGAGGTATATTGTTCGCGGCCAATCTACTTCTAAAGAAGTTTCTCTAGCTCCGCAGCGATCGCATCACCGACTTCGGCCGTACTTGACTTTCCGCCGATATCGCGTGTTCGGATGCCGTTGTCGATGGCAATCTTGGTGGCCTCATCGATCTTCAGCGCAAGCTCTGGTTGACATAAAGAGTACTTGAACATCATGCTGAGGGACAGGATCATTGCGATAGGGTTGACGACGCCTTTGCCCGCGATATCGGGTGCGGAACCTATTGATTGTAAGCAAGCGTAGATGCAGCGGCGCGCCAACAAAAAAAAAACGTACCGTGGATAGGCTCGTAAATTCCGTTAAGCTTGGTCTTGCCGTCTGGGATGCCACCTAAGCTGGCACTTGGAAGCAGACCAAGACTTCCAGGGATGACACTGGCTTCGTCGCTGATGATGTCGCCGAACAAGTTGCTCGTTACCACGACACCATTCAGTGCCCTTGGGCTCTTGATCATAAGCATAGCCGCCGAGTCGATGAGGTGGGTGCCGGACTCGAGTTGTGGGTACTCTTCCTTCATGATGCGCTCAAAGGTTTTCCGCCATAATCTCGATGTCGCCAGAACGTTTGCCTTGTCCAGACTCCATACCGGGACAGGCGGGTCCTCGACAGACGCGAGACTACCCGCTAACCGTACGACGCGCTCAATCTCCTCGACGCTATAAGGCTCTGTGTCCATGGCCTTGCCATCACCCTCATCTTCTTTTCGCTCGCCAAAGTATATACCGCCAGTCAACTCGCGGATGATGTTGAACTTTACGCCACGAACGTTGTCGGCTTTTAGGGGTGAGCCGTCGATGAGCGAGTCGGAGGCGAAGAAACACGGCCGCAGGTTTCCGAAGGTACCGAGTTCTTTGCGTAGTTTCAAGATTCCCTGCTCAGGGCGCACCTTGCCGGTTCCCCATTTCTATACAAGTTGTCAGATGGCGTCGGGTGAGTGTGGAGTTGTAGAGTCGTACCGGCCCGCCGACAGCACCGAGGATGATGGCGTCGGCCGACTTTGCAGCTTCGAGGGCTTCATCCGTGAGAGGATTGTTGTGTGCATCTATCGAACACTAGAACTAGTAAGACAAGTCCCATACGTCATAGCTTGAAACTTACTCCTCCAAAAAGGTGCTCTTTGAAGTTGAAGGTGTTGTCGGTATGTTTTTGGATGACTTTGAGGATCTTCATCGCCTCAGCGACGACCTGGATGTGTGCGTCAGTAGGCGCATTGGGAAAGTGCGAAGGCTGCTGCTACCTCTGGGCCGACACCGTCACCTGTATGGAATTAGCGCACAGCTGTACGGACTTGGAAATGTGGCTTACCGGCAAGGACAACAATATTGTGGGCAGTCATGATGAGTTGAGTATGCTTGGAATCCAACAAAGGGGGTTGCGCGCTCTCGAGGATTTGCCAAAGATTCGTGAAGCTACCCCACGAAGCAGTATTCCCTGCCCCGCTATCGCAACCCCTCCGACGTCGGCCGCCTTGTGCCGAGCATCGCTCTACGACTGCCTATTATTTACAACGCCCTGACGCTTCAGCAACATGGACAGTGAATGCTCTTTTCAGCCCGTTTGCAAGGACTCCGATGTCGCAAGCGGTTTCGGTGATTGAGAAGTCACTCTGTAGTCGTGACTTTCCATGTGTAATACGAACAGCGCATGTACAGAACACTAAGGTAGGGGGAAGGGCATGGTCTCGATGCTTGCGACGTTTCCAGCGAGTGTGTGTATAACGACTATCGCGTCGTAGTTCATTAAGAGTGCCAAGAGCCATTAATATGCAGTGCGCTTGCCCCTATGGTTCTCCAGGTACAACAGTGCACGGAAGCGTATGATAGGGGTCAACACTTGCCGTCACATCACTCCTTGTCACCACGAAGCACTAGCGCCAACCTTTGGAAGCCGCGTGTGACAGCCAGAAGCCGATCACGACGTGCCATGCAATCTTGGGAGAGGTTACTTTTGGACGCTGCAGGACAGGGAGATTAGAAGCTGATTGTTTGGGTAAGCGACACGTTGAATTGGGACAGTAAGGTTTAAACCATCATCCCATACCAGTTAGAACCAATGACTCCGTGGGGTAAAGGGTGATGGAAGAGGCCGCAGGCCGAACTGATGCGTCGTGGAGGCTCTGTGATGAACGCGGGATGGCGCTTCGTTCTAACCTTTCGTGCGCCAGCCTCCGCAGATCTCTCTCCCACACGCAAGCTCCAAGCCCCGATCTGGCTCCACGTTACACGCATCCTCACCTGTAGATCACAGCCAAGAGTCTTGGACATGAAGATCCTCTCTTGCGCCTCACATTCAGTGCGCGGTCCTCTATATAAGTCGTCGTAGCCCGCCGCTTTTTTGCGACAAGCCTCCGCGTTTCTGGGCGCCGCGCAACGACGTTGCGTAGCGGGACGCGCCAAGATAAGCGCACTATTGTGATGCAATCTCTGGCCGCTGGTTGTGCAATCTGTACTCGATCGGCAGCTTCGTGGTTGGGTTAGGTCAGAGTGTTGGAGATGCGTTTTGGACTGGCCGCGCTGGGCATGCGGCTTGGAACATCTCACTGCCCGCCTATCGCGGTTGGCGCAACTAACCTGGGAGCCCCGTGGGTGTCCCATGATGCCCCCAGGCTTACCTGTTTCCGTTCCACTGCTGGCCGACTCACATATAATCCCCACGAATCCCTTGCGCATGTGTTGGCTGCATCGTGTGGTCCACGGTCCTCACAAAGCCGGTACCGCTTACCGATTTGCGCGATTAAAATCACCGCTTTTTTTCAACAAACGTAGCGAACTACGGTTCGCGCTGCAAACACTGTGCAGCACAATCTCACCCGCATAAAACTACTCACCCGTCCCTCCTTCATGCCTTTGCAACTTCACACTCCTGTATACCTCAACTACAACCACGACCTCGAGCTCGTCCGGTAACGTACACCCAAGCCGTCCGCGGCGAGCGTTCCAGCCACCACTTCGAGACCCACTTCAAAGCCACTACACACTTCACCATGTTGTCCGTCCGCTCCAGTGTCGACAGCATCTACAGCCGGCTCAGCGGCGAGAAGCCCCTTCCCAAGCCAGCCTACCACTGCAACATGAACCCGGAAGAGCAGTCCCTCTGGGCCCTTATCGTAAGTGCCCCTCTAATCTTTGTCTTGATACAACGTCATACTAACGACTGTACAGGGAGAAGAAAAGTACGAATACACACGCGACAAGAAGGGCAGGGTACACAGGCGTCGTCTTACCTACGTCCAACGCGCACAGAAGCAACGTCTGTTCTTTGAGTCACGCGTGGGTCATGCCATTGTCGGCGATGAGTGGATGAGGATGAAGCTTCCTTCCCGAAAGTGCTAGACAAGCACAAGTGGCTGGCCGCTGCCAACACACGAAGGTCCACCACGTCGCGGAGGCAGTTGGACCATGATTCCGGTTACTGGGTCTCAGTGTGGCTGGGGTGTATTCCTCATGCTACTATCTCTTTTGTAATGGGTTTGGGGGCGTCAGATCAGTGGCCATTTCGCATAGGATACCCGGCATATGCATTCAGCGTGGAGTTGTTACGTTGCTCAAATCAACATTTCTTTTGACTACAAGTTTGCCTTGATGATGATTGACAGTGTGATGATATCTTACCTCATGGGATGTAGGTCACGTGCTCCAAAGCTTTCGCGCCACAACGAGAGAATAGCCTGCTTAGGGACTCTAGCTAAGCAGCGGCAGTGCAAATGGCGATGGATGGTGATGGTCTGCTTGCGGTGTGAAGTGGTGTAGAGGCCGCCTAGCTGTCGGCCCAACGCCACTGGGCGTAGCTGGCAAGTCTCCGCTCATTGGCTGTTTCCGCAGCGGCCGCCGCTCAGCCTTCAGCTGCGGGCGGGCTGTGACCTCACTCTCTCCCAATTTCTTCCTCACCCAACACACGAAAAGCGAATTGCCATCCCATCGAGTCATAATGTTCTGGCCCTACCCATGAGGAAATCCGCCTTGAGACCTCACAGCACCAATCCTAAACCATGTCGGACGACGAGGATGCGTTAGTCATCGCGGCGGATGGCGACCTCATCCTCGATGTCGCCCAGGAAGAGGGCGGACAGCGCTTCTCGTATCGCGTAGACTCCAAGACCCTGCAGCAGAACTCGCGGTACTTTGAGAATCTGCTGAGTGACCGCTTCAACGAAGGGCAGCGGCTGACGGCCGCTTTGGAAGCACTTGCCTTGAGTAGCTATAGCAAGATTGCAGATGCGCCTGCCCACGTGCTTCCTCACATAGCCATCGTCAACGTCGGTCGTGTAGCCGTTGCCAAAGCCTCTTCGATCCGCAACCTGGTTGCAGACTTCCTCCGCGCCATCCATGGCCTCGATCTTGCCGTCACGAACCCGCCCATAGCCAACCTCGCCAATCTCGCCGTCGTAGCCGACCGATTCGATGCTGTTGCGGGCTTGTCGAAGCACATACAAAGGAAAAAATACCTGCAGCTCATCGATGCCAAGTCGAGAGGCAAGCCAGCCCCAGCGCAAACGGAAGAAAGGATACGGCAGAAACTCTTCGTCGGTCTCCTCTTCGATCATCCATCGTGGGTAACGCGGTACTCGAAGCATCTGATCATACGCGACTCGGTCCAGTGGCGACCGGGGACAGAGGAGGATCACACAAAAGCCTTGTGGTGGGACATACCAAACGGCGTCGAAGACGAGCTGATACAGAGACGAGAGTACATACTGGAGACCATCAACTCTGTACAGGCTCACTTCCTCAAGCTGTACACGTCTGGCGAACGCCAATGCAAGCTCTGGTACGATACATCGCTACAATGCGACTCGTTTCAGCTAGGAGAGATGGTTCGCTTCTTCTCCAAGATCGATACTGTACGGTTGCAAGGCAAAATCTACGATAATACAGAGCCGACGTACTACCTTGGAGACATCGATCGACTTCTGTCATCACTTCGCCAGTGTTCCAATTACCAGGTCGATAGCAATCACGGACATTGCGGACTGCGCGGACGCATACTCCCACTTCTTGACCTTATACAAAATCAGCTCAGCCTCGATACAGGTAGTCTCGACATTGGAATCTGCGCGGAATGTTGGAACAACCACCGCAGTGAGTATGCCTGGCAGCTAGCCAAGCGACCGGTCATGTGGGCTCACCCAAAGTCTTTAACGGGTAATCGGGCGCTTACTACTGCCGTCGCGCGTAAGAGTCATCAGAGGACACCAAGTAGCTGTCTCAGCAGGCATGTGGCGGTCAGAGATCTTTTCATGGCTGTGGAGCGTGACTGGACAGCGAGGGACGTGTATTAAGAAGACAGTACACCATCAAGGCAGCTTTTGAGACCTTTGAGCCTCATACAGCTATGGTCTCAAAACGCCTCGATCATGTGTTCGACGCTAGGACAGAATCTTTGCTAGGAATCCTGTGCCGTAGCCACGCGATATTGTAGGCGCCGCATAGAATCTAGGGATCGCAAAGCTAGAGGAATATGAGGTTTTGTGTCTGCCTTGAGACCTCAATAACACGCGAGATCCTGGAAGGAAGGAAGGATACTCCCGTTTGAGGCGCTGGATAGAGAAAGTCTAACCCGCTTTGTTAACCCAGTCAGTGCCTGCACCCTTGTGACGCATGTTCTTTGGACTAAGTGCAATGGTTCATTGCACCCTTAAATTCTCAAGTCTTTTACTCGTGGTTCGTTCTTTGAACGGTAAATGCTTGTGAGCCGACTCGTGAAAGGCTGGCTCGGCTATGCAAGAGGCGTGATTGGGCCTACCCTCGGACCCATGGTGGCTGAGCAATCAGCCTGAGTTTCTTTCTGCACAGCACAGCTTCTGGTCGCGACTACCGGATATTTCTTCCATTCCCAATCCATCGATGGCCAAGGCCGATCGTAAGGCACACACAAGGCGCATATACACTTTTCGCATTGTGGGTTGTGAATAGTATATAGATTCACCTGAACCATGGAACAACACGTCCCTTCCATCAGGACACTGGTAACCTGCGCAAACCAGCTTTCACCTGTGCTTACCGTTTGCTCTGACTCACTTTAACGTTGGCCACTGCTCCAATGTCTGTCTCACTTGCCACCGTTCAGTATTTCGACAACGCCAACTCTCTATCCTACGCTGTCACTCCCTGCATTCAACACTACCCATTATCACCAAAGTCTGGAAGTATGTTTGGCAAATTGAAGAAGACCTTTTCGACACGCAAGGCGTCCAAGTCGACCAATAGCTATAGCCCACGGGACACAGAAGGCGCTGGACAGATGCTTGGTAATGCGCCTACAGGTGCACCGGTGAACAAGAGAAACTCTGCATCCCGCGACAGTGGCCTTGCACCGTTCTCATACCCTGGCCCGTTTGACTCGGCGTCACCTGCTACACGAAGGCCCAGTAAGCACTACCCCACATAATACATACACTTTACGATTGCTCTTCCTGAAGCTGACCTTTTGCCAGACAGCTCAAGCATGAATCCCTTTAGTTCTAACCGCGATGCCCCGCCGGCGTATACACCAGGCCCAGCTCAGAATGCCCCCGCAGTATACCCAGCCCCGACTACCGATATCGAAGAAGACGATCCCTATGACTTCCTTCGAAGCTTCGATACAGTCTTTCTCATCGATGATTCTGGATCCATGGCCGGCCGCTCTTGGAAGGAGACTGGCAAGGCTCTTGAAGTGATTGCACCGATCTGCACCAAGCGTGATGCAGACGGAATCGACATCTACTTCCTCAACCACCCCGATTCTAGCATTTACAAGAACGTCACATCGGCGAGTACCGTCATCGAGATCTTTCAGACAGTGCGTCCCAGGGGTGCAACACCGACCGGTCAGCGCCTGAACAAGATTCTCAAGTCCTATCTCGAGCGATTCATGCTCGACAATAGTATCAAGCCCATGAACATCATCGTCATCACTGATGGTGTGCCATCCGATGATCTTGAAACTCCCATCATCAACGCCGCCAGGAAGCTCGACCATGAGGATGCAAAACCACACCAACTTGGCATCCAATTTTTCCAGGTTGGCAAGGAACCTGGTGCGAGGGAGCATCTCATGCAACTCGATGATGGCCTTATCAAAATAGCGCAGAGCCAGGGCTTGGGAGTTCCTCGGGACATCGTCGACACGGTGCCTTTCACTGGTGACGGGAACGCTGAGCTCACCGGCACAGGAATACTCAAGGCCACTATGGGAGCTATCAATCGCCGATGGGACTATACTTCTAAGGGAATACATCAAAAATAGCGGGGCGCGGCTAGTTTCTACAAAGGCGCAGTGTGCTTCACGGGTGGACCAGTTGATGGGGTCGTCGTAATCCATCAATTCGATACGTTTAACGATATGATTTCAGGCGTTGATTGGGTGGTGCTATCTGTATGCTTTGGGAGGTGGTGTCATCATGGGCGTTGGTGGTTCGATATCCTCATTTTACGGGTCGCTTCTGCATACGCACGACGATACCCCCTGTTCTGCATGGCTCTATATTGGATAAAGCGGTTGGGTGGGTATTTGCATGCAGTTCTCCAAGTTCAGCTAGAGACTTCTTAGGTCGATGATAGCTGGTCATTTCTTGTTCCTTTTTCACTCTTCTCCATACGTTTATGACTGGCAAAGACAGTAAGTTTCACTTACTAGTTTCAGAGCAATCAAATACCTAGTAATTATACATCAGAGCAAAATTCCTGAATACCCCTCTTTGTGAACGTCGTCCCACGAAGGAGGGGTAAATTCCGTGCATGAGTGCCTGAAAGCCTGAAGTTTGCCTAAGGCTGCCTCACAAGGCAGACTCGCCTATATCTGCCCGTTACAGCGGGAACCTCCCACAAGCAAACACGAACACCGGCCTTGCATATCAACGTGGGCGGATGCGGCTGGTGGTCGAAAATAGTGCATGCAGTGTTATGCAACAAGCTCCAAACACCATGGAATACGCCCCTCCGGTCAAGTGGTTGTCTGTCTTATTCGTCCAAGAACCGCCTCTTTTTTTTGGATAGGGGTACTGGTATGCGCTTTACTGTCGCTGTTCATGCAAGGGATCACCGGGTAGCCCAAAGGGCGTCAATCCGACAGATCGTTTAGTTGAGGACAATTTGACTATCAGACGCCGTCCCAAGCGAGGCATCGAGAGGTGTGGTTCTCATACAAACACCCAAGGCAGCAAACATGGCCTCGCGGAAAGGGACAGCAGCCAGTTCACCATATCTTTACAATAAATACAGTATCACAAAATTCACCGAAAAGTACTTGGCGACATCTGGAAGTCAGAGAATCAGGGGTACCATGTGCTAACTTCAATACGATGCATGTGTTGATCGACTGATCGATATTCTGTGCGGACTGCACGAGAAGATGTCGAAACTCCTGCTTCGTGAGCACGAGCATCGACGGAACATAATTATAGTCTAGACATAGGTAGGCATTCGACTGCAATCCCAAAAGTCCACAGGATTCCTATCAGATCACTCAGTAGAACGGCCATCTTGCTACCCGTGTTGCAGTTAAAGATGACCTCTTGCGGCAAGAAGCCATGTGAGTCGATCATTGACCTTGAGCACGCCGTTCATTCGTACCAGCGAAGGGGCTATACTGAAATTCATAGCACAAAGACTGGTATACTTAGTTCGACGGTAGAGATAGACGTTCGCCAGGCTGTACTGGCAAAGGCTACAGTACACTTCTCCCTGTCTAGCGTGCGTGCTCGCTAACACACCAATAGATGTATTGTTCTTACAGGTTCTGGTGCAGTAATCGTCTATACAATTTTTCCAGTTGAAGGAATGCGGAGCTGCAGCATGACATACGTCGTCGCATGGGCAGAGATCTTGTTTGGTTATGTCTGGTGCAAGATTCAGTGATGTGGTGCAGGGATGGCGCAGGCGGGGATGCAGGCGACGATGACGTTTTGGCTTCCGGTAGCTTGGCCAACCCCCATTTACAACTTTGCTGGGCATGTCGACCCAGAAGGAGGGGACGAGCACCGACGCTGCCATCCCTTACTTCACCAACCTCTCCTGGTCCATCTACCGCATCAAAATTGCCCTGCTGACCTCGGGCACGTCGTCAGACATGGCCAAATCACAGGCGCTGCAGAGCAACCTGGACGTCGACTACGTGATCAGCTACCGCTTTGCAAAGACGGACAAGACAAAGGCCATTGCGCAGTTCGAGAAGCTTTGTGAGGCGCTCGCAAACGTCGGGCTGCAGACGGAGGTGCGCAATGGCGAGTCGCACTCAATCCTGCTCTTCGTGAGGGTCGCTTCCGACGAGCACCTGTTTGGCGAGGTGTACAGGTCCAGGTATGCAAGCCGCTACTGCGTCTAGGAAGGACCGTGGCTAAACCGCGCACAGAGTCCGCGACTGGATCCACGGTGTCCGAACGGCTGCCCCCGAAAAGGTTACGCGCGAATCGCTCGAAGCAGAGCCCCTCTACGAGGCCGAGAGACTGCGTATAATATACCAGCTCATTACCAACCCTCCGTCCGAAGGCGGCGCTGGCATCACACCCAAGGAGGGAGAGTGGGAGAATGTCGAATCCGTCTTTGCGCTGCACGACCACGCCTACAACAAGGACTGGATCAAGAAGTGGACCTCGCAGTACTTCCTGACTACCGAGGACTTGGATGATATCAGAAACCGTCTGGGGGAGAAGGTAAGTCTCCACAACATCGCCCCTGAGGCTATAAGCTAACCTGCCCAGATTGCCTTCTACTTCGCCTTCACACAGTCCTACTTTACCTTCCTCATCCCCGCTGCCGGCTTCGGCTTCTTCTCCTGGCTCTTCTTCGGCTCCTTTTCCCCCATCTACGGCCTCGCGAGCGCCCTGTGGTGCACCGTCTTCACCGAATACTGGAAACAACAGGAGGTGGACCTGAGCGTTCGCTGGGGCGTCAAGGGCGTCTCCAAGATCGATGTCAGGAAGAAGGACTTTGCACCTGAAAAGACCATCACCGACCCGGTCACTGGCGAGCAGGTTGGCTTCTTCCCGGCATCCAAGCGCTTCCAGAGGCAGTTGCTGCAGATCCCGTTCGCTATCATCGCGGCTTGTTCCCTCGGAGCTGTCATTGCGACCTGCTTTGGCATTGAGGTCTTCATCTCTGAGGTCTACAATGGGCCGCTCAAGAGCGTTCTCGTAAGTATCACTCCAGACCTACATATCCGAATGCAACTAATTTCCGCCAGGTATTCATTCCCACTGGCATTCTCACAACCGTCAACCCTATTCTGAACACCCTCCTAACGCAAGCCGCTACACGCCTCACCCAGTTCGAGAATTACGAGACCGCGGGTGCGTACGAGAAAGCATTGACTCAGAAGATCTTTGTCATGAACTTCATCATGTCGTACTTGGGAATCTTCCTGACTGCCTTCGTCTATGTACCCTTTGGCAAGGTCATTGTACCCTACCTTGACGTTTTCAATGTTGCTGTGCGACCCTTCGCCGAAGACGAGAAGCAGCTACACCTCAACTCGACAAGCTCTAGCTGGAGCATCAACCCTGACCGTCTTCGCAAGCAAGTCATATACTTTACAGTCACCGCCCAGGTCGTCAACCTTGGCATGGAGCTTATCGTTCCTTACCTCAAGCGTCGTGGTCTTGCTAAGTACAAGGAAATGCAATCCGACAGGGCTGCAAAGAACGGTGGTTCCGCTCCAGCTGCTACCGAAAATGACCCAGCTGAGGACGCTGCCTTCCTTGACCGTGTCCGTAAGGAGGCTGAACTCGACGTCTACGATGTTACCGCCGACCTTCGTGAGATGGTCGTGCAATTTGGTTACCTGTCTCTCTTCTCCGTGGTTTGGCCACTTACCGCTGTTTCCTTCCTTATCAACGACTGGATCGAGCTTCGTGCCGATGCTATGAAGATCTGTGTTGAGATGAGACGTCCGACCCCATGGCGCGCTGATACCATTGGCCCCTGGCTGGACTCTCTCTCCTTCCTCACTTGGATGGGCAGCCTCACTACATCCGCTCTCGTCTACATGTTCTGGAACGACCGCACTGGACCCAGCGGCAGTCCTTCCAACATTCAGCTATGGGCCCTCCTCCTAACTGTCTTCTTCTCCGAGCACCTCTTCATCTTCTTCCGCTGGGGCGTTCGCGAGGTATTGTCCAGACTCGATTCTCCTGGCCTACAGAAGGAACGTCGTGAACGCTTCCTGGTACGCAAGCAATACTTTGAGGAGAACCTCAGCCAGCTGCAGAACATGCCCAGGTTGAGTGAGAAGGGTGGCGAGATTACTAGGAAAAGTCTCGAAGAAGAAGCTAGGCAGGGCAGTCTCAGGGATAGTACTGCCGAGATCAGATTCTGGCAGCGCCAGAGGAGCTGGAGGGAGAGCGCGGCGGTTGCGAAGGACCTCATCAGCAGGGCGCAGAATGAGACCGTCATGGAGACGAAGAAGGAGTTGTAGAGCATGGTAGCAGATGCAGTCATGTCGTAGGCTGTGATGAGCGTCTGATGGAGTCGGAGACGGTGGGTTTCCTATGTTATAACTCGAGCATTATTAGCCTGGCGCTATTTGGAGTACTTCTGCCTTTGAAAGCGTCTGCTTTGATAGCCTATCGATCTTGCTGGCAATGATCTTGATATTGTTGTGATCCACCATCCAGTCTTTCTAATCCTGCTCATATCCAAGCAGACCAGCTCTAATCGAGTGAAACGCCTGTTAGGGCCTCTTGAAGCTCATACATGATTTTACCTTTGCTCCAATAGGCCAGTCTTTCTTCCTCGAGCGCATGCATAAAGCCTGCTACTCAATGAGAAAAGACGTCCCGTTGCTGGCGACATTTCTGAAGAGAGGACTGACGTAGAAAGCCGCAATGCGACGTCCTTGCATCAGACCAGGCTTCGGACTCGCCTCGCAGTAGCAGGGCTGGGTATGACTGCACGCATAAAGCGTATCGTTAGTATCATCTAGGTGCTCCTAAGAGCGAGCAGAAGAACAGCGAAAAAAAAAAAGAACGGTTTTTATCATGGGACAGCTACAATACTAAGAAACAGAGACTTGGAAAACGTATAGAGATTAGACATCTCGTGTCGCTCCCGATCAATTAAAACCGGACAGAAGACAACATCGGTGGCGGGGAGGGCTCGTGTCGCCGCGTCGAGGTCTGGTGGGATCAACATGGTGGTGCGAGGCCTGTTCCGGTCGATGAGGCATCCATCCGGGTGTTGTACGTCTATAGCTTTCAAACGCCTATAGCGCCGTGGATTGCTCTGGGTATCGCGCAATGGTGGAAACAATCATGCCGCCCTAATCTGTCCGCATGGTGAGTGGACCTGCCGGAGCGTTCGTACTCGCCTAGCCACAACACCGCCTCATACCACACCTGTCTGGCATTTGAAACTATTGTGGGCGCGTCAGACCACAATCGTCGTTCCATTCCGTTGCGCCTGAATCATTTTCTTCGTGGCTTTTGCCCAGTCGTCAATCCATGTTTGGGCCTCACGATCTTCTTATCAATGACTGTCCTGATCCGATTCTGGCTGCAGAGGAGGTAAGTTCAGAGCAAAAGGAATGATGAAATCCCAGAGAAGCTAGTGGATAGGACAAAACCTTCGTCCAAGCTTCGCACAGAACGGTCTCCGGTACCCGAATGAATCCAGCGTAACGTCACTCACTTGAGGCTTCTCATGTGGGCTCGCTGCTTGGTGTATGTCTCGTAGTTGCCACCGAAAACGCATTCGAGAATGCTGGGTCCGATATTCTGTCCCGAGCGAGCGGCCTGCATACGATCGCTGAGGGTAAAGTACGCTTCTTTGAAGGCATCAAAGGCAACCTGAACCTTGTGGGATCCACCGGAAATGTTATTCTCTGGGCGATTAGGATCCTGGATGGACAGGCCGTCATATTTTTCTGGGCGGCCATCGATACCATAGTTCGTCTGCGTTTGTTAGCTATGCATACGAAAGCGGGAAAAGCAGCCGGAGGCCACTGCTCATCCCACAGCGACATGGGAAGACTTACCTTTTCAATGATAGCAGGAGGATGCATCTGAATGCGTTTGCGGGATAGATCGAAGTCACCGTAGTACTTGAGGAATCCTAGGAAACATTCTCCGAGGTTGTCCGGTTTAGGGGAATGCTGAATGTAGCTGACGATCAAGCAAATGATACTGTACCCTCCAATCCCGCCAGTATGGACTTCATTCAAGCCATGCATGGCGAGGAACTGCTTCATGAGTGCCACCATGTATATCATGTCGGGGTACTGCTGCTTCCACTGTGCAAATGTCGCTTGTGCCTGCACTCCGCTCAAATTCTCGAACGAGATGTCAACTTGAAGCTTGGTGAGCTCGTCTTCGAACTTGATGATGGGAACGCGCGCAGGGATGACCAGTGCGTTGTTGTTGGCCGCCAACCTTGTGTCTTTGAGCCGTCTGGCTGCCTTGTAGAGCAGACTCTTGTTGGCCCCTCTCGCAGACATGTCGACAACAGGTTCTCCACCATTGTAGTGCCTATCCGAGACATATACCAGATCCATGTCGGCCGTAGGCAAGTAAAGACCCGCAGGGAAGGAGCCGAAACACAAGATGCGTCCGTTTTCTTGAGGGAACCTGCGTTGTCCCATAGCGCTGTTAACGCGGTTGACTAGCCGGTTACGTTGTTCGTGCTCGAAGGGCTTTGGTGCGACGAAGTCATAGAAGTCGAGTATCTCGTTATGAAGCCTGTCACAGTGTTAGTCCAACAATCGCGTTGCAAGGTAGACTGCGTATTGCATAACTGCCACAGATGCAGTCGTGGAAATAAAGAGAACTTACCATTTCTCAGGTTCGCTAGCGAGATGCGCATACGGGTCGCGTGAGGGAAGCCACGGTGTTGGATTGACGTTAGGAACGGGTAGCCACTCGTCCACGACACCACTCAAATTGGCTTTGCGTTTGTTGTTGTTTCTAGCAGGACGTGGTGCCCGATGTTCAGCTACAGCAGCCTGTTGCCTATCAACAATGCTGTCAATGTGCGCGAACTCGCTCAAGGAGCCTTGAACAGCGTCGCGGCCATCGTCCTCGTCACCAAACGAGATGAAATCGTCGTTGGCAACAACTGAATTGTGTCCAGCGGCCTTCTCGGCTTCCTGATTCTTGGCCTTCCGGATCAGTTTGACAAAGTCGGTTCTCTTTCCCGTAGTCTCATCGGGAGGCGGCAAGGCGGTGTACGGGTCGGGATTGGACCACTTTGGAACAGAATCGCCATCAGCACGTTTGGTTTGCGTTCGGGCTGCCTTGGGCTCGCGAGCGTCGCCGTCGCCATCTTCATCGGCAGAATCCGCGCTCTCTACCTGCATATCTGCCTCTTCGTCGTCAGAAATGTCATCTGGGTTGTGGAACCGGTTGGAGCCGTCGGCAACACCTAGAGCGCGTTCCGGACTACCGCCGTCGCGATGGGTCAGAAGGGCGCGCTCGTGTGGGGCAGCTTTCTTGAAACCACCCCTACGGAATCCGTTTGTGTTGTTCCTGCCGTCCGCGCGAGACGAGCCTCGCGAGGCCCCACCACGACCGCGCCTTCTTGACGATGCAGAACCGGAAGGACCCCGCGGCACATTGGAATCGCTAGCAGGCGGAAAGCGGGGAGCGGGATGACTAGACTCGAAGGTGAACTGGGACTGATTGCCGTTGCGCGCACCGCCTGGTCGGTAGTTGTCGCCATCACCGCCAGTGAACGTCATGCGGTCTGCAAGTGGTCGCGGGCGGTCGCGCGCAGGTCGCGACGGACGATATGAGTCTCCCATGGCGTGTCGCGTTTGTAGTGTGAGGAGGGTTTGTCGCGCGCAATTGATGAGTGGTTGTTGTGGGTTGGTGCTGATAGCGGTGGGTTGTGGAGGGATAAAGGTCTCAGGCGCGAAAGATTTGTCCAACGACAATGCGAGTAAGCCAAGACCTTAGCGCGACCCAGTGAATTTGTGGGGTGCCCGCGACCGGGACCCGGTGTTCACTGCAACTTGAATTGGTCAGTGCTTGGAGCCGTAGACAAAGTTAGTTACTGAAGCTAACGCCCTCCGCTTTTGCAATGTCGGATGAGATGTACATCCAGTCATGTCTGACACTTGCTCAAAGCTTGTGAAGCTACACATCAGACGGTATACGTACGATGAAGAAATCCCACACCTGGGCACTCAGATAGGATCTGATCTCTGACAGCTTTCTGCTGTGCCAGCTGCTGCTGCTGCGAGGTGGTGATCGAAATCAACGTTTCCGTGGGGTATTCTTCGATTGATGGATATGGCATCGTTACATGTGATAATACAGTATTGAACACTCGCAAAGAAATGTAAGAAGCAGGAGAGTGGAGAGAGACCGAAGCATGCTTATGCCCATCCAACCACACTCTCGATGACGAAGCGCCATCGCTTACTGTGCCCATAGAACATAGAAGGCTCAAACGCTATGCCCAACGCCCAAAATGCAACAAATTCTCCCTTCATCACTCCGTGTAGTTCGTCAGGAACATAGTCCAGTTTGTGTGTCTCGCCCTCGAGGTCGAGTGACCGAGAGGAACCGCGGCCAAGTTAGATTGCTCCATGTAGAGCCATCTCAATCTTCTTTCGTAAACTTAGGCTTGACTAGAAGTAGGTGCACCAGGTCAGTATGTGTCTCACATGCGGTGCGTGCATGGGTACTTACACCCTTCCCTTAATTCCTTTTCGCGCTCCGCCACCCGTTGATGTCCCTGCACCTCTCTCTCTATCCTCTCTCGTGCCCTCAATATTTTGCTTTGCAGATAGAAACTTCCGCCCTTCTTCGGATCGTTTAGATCGAACAGCCTCTTGAATCGCTCCGTGACAGCCTCTATTTCAATGTTTCCCATCTTTCCGGGACCCACGTTCAGGATTTGGCAGGCTTCGTCCATGGTGATGTTCGAAGACGAGAAGGCGCCACCGCTGCCTCCACCACCTTGGCTGGCGGCTGCATATTTCTGCGACGCGGCGGCTTGACGGTACGATTCGGAGACGGCGCGACCTATTATTCGAGCGCCGGAGAAGACGACTTGTGTTATTATGCGGTGGGCCTGTACGTGTTAGTTGCAGACGGTGTGACAGCGAATAGGAACATACCATTGTAAGAGGTGACGAGGTAAGGAGAGTCTGTGTAATATGCTATTCCCGTCGAATCCTATGCGAGAGCCACGCCTGTCTGTCTTGGGCGGATGGGTGCTGTTGGCAATGAGGGCATCTCCAAAATTTCTGGGTCGCCTTCCGCGCTCTCGGCCTGCCTCCGCAACTGGGCACGTGATCTCAGCCAATCACAGCACGATCGCAAACTGCGATCTTCGCAAGCATCTCTGCGCGCCTGACGATGGCTATAGTCGTGCAGTCCGGTCAAACATGGTAATGACGGTGATGCATCCCGTGTGCGCCCTTCGTTCAGAGTGCTTCTGGATATTGGCGCCGGGGGAGGCACCTTGAGGCTTCCGCAAGTCGCCCTCGGACTAAGACATTCACATGCTCAAAGATCCCCGCATCACTCCCGGCGACAACGTCATGTGCGACTTTGCATGACAGTTTCCAACATCTCTCGAGCTTCAGTTGTGCATCGCTGCAGGCTTCCTTCCTGTACAATCACTGAGCGTGGCTTGACAAGAGCGCGGCACTCAGCCTCCACTGCTCAGCCAGGCGATGACGCACAACCCCATGCATGGCAGCACTAGGTTGGTAACTTCCAAACTTGCAACCACATGCAAGTAAAACCGAGTTGCGCAAACAACATGCTCATGCCCACATAGACACACCCTGGATACAGCACATGTCCACCCCTTCAAAATCCAGCAACGATGCGTCGTCCCCGCCGCCAACCGGTGATTCGAATTCCAACCCGACGTATGCCAGCTTCTCTCCCGCCAACCTAGGCCAGACGACACCGCAATCAAAACTGCGCTCCGCCATACTCGTGCACCAGAAGTCGCCCCTACTTGCGGCTACACCACCACAGATCACTCGCGTGCTCGCTTATTCGCACCCCTTCATATTACCTCTGAACAAGTTTGCTGGGCTGGTGACATGGACGACCGGAGACCCATGGGAGAGCTTTCTCGTGGTCGCAAGCTTTTGGGCCGTCGTCATGTACGGTGATGCCGTGACAAGATACGCAGGGCCCATTATCGTCGTGTCTGGACTGATACTGGGCATGTACACGCGAAGATATTCTCCACTATCGTCGACCGGGTGGACAGGCGAGAAGGGACAGAAGGCGCACAAGCGCGTCGAGTCGGACACCAACATCAAGCATCACAAAAGCCTGGAAGAAATTGTGGATAGTCTGAAGCTCTTCACTTCGCGCTGCAACATCCTACTAGATCCCTTTCTACGCCTCACAGACTTCTTATCCACGCAGAGAACTGCGACCTCGGCTACTACACGTCCGGCGCTCACTGTGTTGTTTATCCGAATCCTCTTCGTGTTGCCGCTATGGATAGCACTCACGCTACCGCCGTTCTATATCCTGACTACGAAGCGAGTGGTACTGGCGGTAGGCACAGTGATGCTGAGCTGGCATTCACGACCAGCCCGCGTAACCCGAACCCTCCTGTGGAGATCGAGAACAGTCCGACGTACCTGCGCCTTCATAACTGGACTAGACTTTGGCGAAATTGTGTCAGTAGATAGGAAGGGTGCGCCTCCTCTGCCACCTCGAAAGAAGAGCACGCAGGAGGTTGCAGCTTCATTGGCGGCTAAGCGTCGGCCCGAATCTACAGGCGTACGCTTCACCTTCTCCATCTATGAGAACCAGCGAAGATGGCTAGGTATCGGATGGACATCGTCTATGCTTGCTTACGAGCGAGCGTCTTGGACGGATGAGCACCTGAACCCGGTTCCACCTAAAGAACAGTTCGAACTACCTGAAGTTGAAGGAGGTCAGTCGAGATGGCGGTGGGTGCAAGGCAGTGAATGGAAGGTTGAAGGCGCGGAGAAAGACAGCAAAGCTGACAAAGGCGCGTCCAAGGAGGATTCGGCGTGGATATACTACGACAATAAAGTAAGCAAAGTAACTTGGTATAATTTTCTGATACTAACTTCAACAGTGGAGGGACGGACGAAGAGGTCAAGATGGTTGGGGGCGTTATACCCGTCGTCGGAAATGGTATCGCGACGCCGAGCTCGTCGAATCGACATCGTCCACAGACACAACGCCTATGCCCACGCCTAAACCTGGCCCAATCGATACTTCCGGAGACCTTGACCCTAATCAACTCACAAAGCTCTCCTCCAATCTCAGTGTAGCATCCAGTACAGACCCTACTTTAGTCGAGGGTGATGGACGCGAGTATGCCGCATCGATAGCGTCGGATACAGATGCAGCGAGCACAAAGAGCAAACGGAGTTGGTTTAAGAAGAGGCGGAGCAAGAGTACTAGCGGTAGTGTGAGTGGCGCGACAGTCGTCAGCGATACGGGTACGACTGGTACGCGTAGAAGTGACGAGGACGACATGCAAAGTCCTCTCGATCGCATGGCGAAGGATGAGGAGTGGAGGCTTGGTGATGACATTCGTCAACATCTTGATATTTGAAGTAGTTGGAGCGCTCGATGATTACCTTGACTTGTTGTATGAACATAGTTTTTACGTTCTCCCTTGATACGAACTTACTCGATTTCCGTCAAGTGATGTACCAAACACCGATTAAAGCGATACATGTGCTAGCCAAAAGCATGACCGAGAAGAACAGGGTCGACAGATTGCTGGCGTGTTCCCCTTTCATCGCATAGCCTGCCTCTCGTGTTGTTGTGGTGCATCAATATCGATGCTTCATCCGCAGTAGGTAAGTTCAGAAATCAAGCAGATTCATTGACATGTTCACAGCACGTGGGGAGACGTGGTTTTCAAGTGAGTGTCCTTATTTCATGATCATATCTCATCTAATATTTCCCAGCAGTCATGGCCCTTGGTATTGGCAGTTCACCCCGATTTCCAACAGTGTTCATTGTTCCATCTCCGAATCGCTCGATGGAAGTGTTGCTGGAAGAGTTCCGAGGCTCAGGGTAGCTTGACGCTTAGTGCTATTCGGGTTGTTAGTGCCATTCCAGACCGTAAGGAAGACACCGCGTCGGTATATCTCAAGATGTACTTACGGAGCAGGATCCGCATCCGCAGCTGGAGCAGTCACCAGCGCACTTGCAGGAGGAGCAGTTGCTGTTCGTTTGTTAGCCAGAGCCCCTCCATGTTCCCAGTAGAGTGTCCATCACGGTGCTGGCGCTAGCCCTGAAGCAGCAGCACACCACCGTGTGTCAAACACCAAAGTCGGTCGGAAGACGTACCAGGGGGCCATTTTGATTGGTTGATTGGGTTGTTGGATTGTTTGGTTGGTTGGATTGTAGAAGTGTTGGAGCGTGATGAGCCATCAAGGTGCTGAGGGCAGACACTTATATAGAGCACCTGGCCACCAGCTCGCGACTTGGTAACGACTCCCTACCCACGCCGCGGTGGAGACCCTGTCACTCGAAATGGTCATGCGCGAGGCGGTGGGGTCCGATGGAGAGTGACATATCGACCTGCTAACCGCCCCATCAGAGCCACCGTCCTTCGACCTCCCGCGGTTAAGCGTACGCCACGCTCGTCTCACACCATACACAACAGACAACTTGGAGGGGAAGACCATCTGGTTGGTTGAGGAACACCGGTGAATGGCTGGATAGCTCACCCACTGGGTGTGCTAGGTGCTGAGACGTACCGCTCTAGGCTGCCTCTCGCATATATGCCGCACTTACCGGTATACTCAACCGGGCCGGTTGCAGAGGAGCCTTCGTCAGCCTTCAAGCTGATACGAGCATCTCTTGATGGTATTGGCTATGGAGTCACTTGCCGCTGCAACCGTATCAGTGCATCGGGCTCCACGGCACCTTCGCTCTGCTCGACGCTGTAGCCTGACCACTGACAAAGAGGACGCCTCGGCCTTGACTTCCTCACCGTATTCTAGCGCTTGAGTTGACGCACTGCACGTGTGAGACATCATGCAGATCGCTTGTACCTAGGTACGACCCGCTGCTCTGGAGCCTTGAGAGCCATGGGACGGCACGGGCACAGCACCACCAACGTGGGATGATGTTGGTGACCCCTAATCCGGTGCTTACGTCTCAAACGTCCACTGGCTGCATCAGAATCGAGTGGTGGCACTGCATACGCATTCCCCGCTTCTGGGCACTATCTGATTGCGGACTTGGCAGTTCGCTGTATGTTCATGTGAATCATAGTACGGTGCATACAACTCGAATAGCGAGTTCCTAACTGTGTCCTGTTTCAGTGGGATCTTTGCTGTCAATTACATGCATGTGAATATGCCTGGAAGGACGCGCGACCGAAGTCAAGAATCTAGATCTACACCAAGTTCAAGCGCGTGATCTGATGATGCATCGATGGGTAGCGCTCAATGTAGTATGGCCGAGAAGCCAATCGCGACGGTCCGTCAGTGGAGCTATGATGCAGCTAGTGGGCAACACGTGGGGAGAAGCCTCGCATTTCACTTTACCTAGGTACCTAGGCAAACCTTGGGACCCTGGAAAACGACAAGTGACATGATACATCAGGAGATGTATCTTTTGACTACACACAACAGCGTCTAAGCAATTAGTCACTCCCCAGATGTGACGTAGTTTCCAATCCGTTGGCGTGTGAGTTGATGGCGGCTGCCGCGGTACATGGTGAGTTGTAGCTGCTAAGTATGTCATCGTGGACTCCATGCCAAACACCCACCCGGTCCCAACAACTCTTGGAAAGCAATAACATATCAACATAAGAGCGGCAGCCGCGGTTCGCTCAGACTTTGTTGCACATACCAGGTGACTAGGATCTTCTAGCAAACCTCCACGCAGAGGACGGCTCCACATGTCTTGTCACCAAGCCCATACAATGATATGGTAGTCTTACCAGCGGTATATCGACCGCGCCCCTTGATACGTTCGGACTTGACGTCCTCAAAGGACCGCACAAGGAAGTTGACGCTCATGTTGAGCGCGAGACTTCTGGTATTGACGGCGTAAGTGAGGTGGATCAGGCATGTGTTGTCTTTGGAGTGAGGCGAGAGCGTACGTAATATCGAGCTATAGTTGGGAGTCCCAATAGTGCTTGAGTGAGTGAGTGACACTTTTGAGGATCTCGATGGAAACGATGGTCTCTGTCATTTGACATGACATCTCCAGAGAGAAGAGAGGTCTTACGTATTAGACACACTGGTGGTGACTGGGTGGTGAACGTATCAGAGCAAATGCTTTTACATCTTTGAAACTCGCATGCATCTAGGCAACTCATTCACCCTCGTGCGGCTGATAGATCAATTTGCCTTCTATATCCGACCTTCGTCATACACATGACCCCATATTCCCCGAATGTATTGAACCGCCTCAAACTGTTTCCTCTCAGCAGCAAGCGGATTCTTCTTATCAGCGAAAGTGGCCACATACGCTGTTCGGCTCATCTCACACATAGCAGCACCGGCGTCAAGACGTCTGGGCCCTAGCGCTTGAAGGAATTCGTCCACAAGCCATTCAAGACCACCGCCCCATGCGGTTGTTTCCGGTCTGCCATTGGGCTGCGGAGTACTTCTGAAAATCTCCATCTGTTCTGCAGTATACAGAACGAGTTCATCATCTCCGTATTGACCAATGATCTGCAGTCCTACAGAATTGAAGAATGAATCCGGGACCGTCGAACTCTGGCTCTTTTCCTTGTAAGGAGTAAATGTGGGAAGAGTGATTGCTGGCAGCCCGGCAAGACTAGCTGGTACGGTGAAGACATCGTTCATGTAGGAGTGGACTGGATCCTGATTCTCGACTTCAGCCAAAGACGGTGCCGTTGATGGAGCTGTGGGGCATATGATCACGTCCACTCCTTCTGTTTCTGCCACGGTTTCTTCGGCATCGAGCAACGGGTTTGGACTGGCAAACACCCCGTTGAAATCTTGTTGTACGAGCCTCCGAATCTTTTGTGCTTGTATGAAGTAGTTGTCGATAGCCTGGGCGCTTAGTGAAAAGGCTCCAAGGAGTATACGCCGCTGAACCTCCGGACCGAAACCTTGACCCCGGGTTTTAGCAAAGAGCACACTTTCTGGTGTACCATCGATGCCCTCGGCTCTACTTCCGAAACGCACGCCATCGTACTTTGCGAGGTTGCTCGATGCCTCGGCTGGCGCAAGGACGTAGTAGGCTGATAGTGCTTGTTGTGTTGTGGGTAACCGAATAGGGTGCAAAGTATGACCAGCATTCCACAGATGTCTGAGTTGGTCAATCCATGCCTTTCGGACAGCGGGCTGCAATGTGTCGATGTTGTAATCAAGAGGAATGCCTATCTTCAACGAAGTTGGTCGCTTCCCTGTACGGAATTTTGCTCGGGTTGTGTTGGGAACGGACGTCGGATCCTGCGCATCGTGGATGTTGACCTTGGCTGGACTCAGTCAGAGATGTGGAAATCATGGTCTACATCTCTATAGACTCACAGAAAATGCTCTTCACACTCGCCACGTTCTTGCCAAAGATCCCGACAGTATCCAGAGAGTTCGCATAGGCAATCACGCCCCATCTCGACAGCAGTCCGTAGCTCGGCTTGAACCCAACGACCCCGGTATATGCAGCAGGAAGCCGTACCGACCCCCCCGTATCGGTACCTAACGCGCTGCTCGTCTCAGCACACATACTCCGTCCTCGTCGGCTGTCAAACACTTACGCCCAACATTGCGACGACGCAACAGCAAGCGCGCTTCCACCTGAGCTTCCACCCGCACTTGCATCCTCTCCTTTGTATCTCTGCATCTTCACTGGTCCGAAGTGTGAATGTGTCGAGTGCGATCCCATGCCGAATTCGTCCATGTTCGTCTTGCCTACCACCACGGCACCTTCATCTTGTAGCAGCTTCACCACCGTCGCGTCATATGGGCTGCTAAAGTCTTTGAGGATCCCAGAGGAAGCAGTAGTCTTTAGTTTCTTCGTGCAGATGTTGTCCTTTATTGCGATTGGCTTGTCGGCGACGCTGTCGGGTTGGCGGCGGAGGGTACGGGATTTGGAGGCATCGCTGCTTTGGAGGATGGACGCTTCGACGAGGGAATTAAACGCGTTGAAGTGTCTGTACTTCGACTGGTTCGCCAAGTACGTCTTCGCATGCTTGGAGAGGGACATGGAGGGTGGGGCGCATCGCCGGCGCGTTGTCGCGAGTGGGATGTCGGAACTGCACGAGCGGGACAAAAAGAAGTCGCGACGTCATGTGATCGGCCTGACTGCCCAGGTGCCGCTCTCAGCATTGCCCACGATCACAGACACCAACTGACTGCCAATGTATCCCAGCTCACTCATGAGGTAACCCACAGACCAGAACCTCGGAACAGGTCAAGAGGACCGCAAAAGACCTCTCTTCGAATTCTTGAATAATTTTGCCATCATCCCAAATGGGGGTTCGTCATCTACCATCGCGACTGTCGTAGCGACGATGCTTGGAATTCATTCATCAATAGTTTGATTGAGTGTGTTAAGAACGAGCTGCGCCGCCCAGGATCGGGCCATCCTATACAACCGCTCGCACGTACAGTCACCTGGGCAGAGAAGACTACCTGGAGAAAATCCTCCCCCGAATCGGCACGAACGAGGGCAATGAAGGCGAAGGAGCAGAGTATGAAGATCAAGAGGAGGAAGAATCTGTCAAAACTAAGCTGCACGTGCCAATGGTTCCAGCAGATGCGCACACGCATCTCCTCTCTCCAAACATTGATTCATTCAGCATATGGACCAAAGATGCGAAAAGAGACGGTGTTTACCGATATTGAAGTAGTGTTGGTCTACAATCCTTGGATTTAACTGTAATACCAGACGGCACGGCAGCGAGAAGCAAAGGCCCCGACCGTGTCTGAGTTTGCATCTCTAGTATATCAGACTCTGAAGATTTCTTTGGAAAAGTAGAGTGCGCCTTTGACTCAGACTGCGGTCTGGTCCTGGCTCGGGCTGGTTGTTGAGATCGTACTCTGTTGAAGATCTCTTCAAGGTACAGTGAACTCAATATGGCTGATAGTAAAAACATCTGCAGTTTGAATGAAACTTTCTTGGAGTTTCTTCAGGCCGTCTCGCAGAAAACACGGCTAAGACCTGATTAGAATGGACCTGGGCTGCGGTTCGTACATAGGAGGGAGGCCTGCTAGCGCCGCCAGTGCCAACGCTGCCAAGCCGCTGAACAAGATCTCGACCAGCTGAGGCTTGAATTCTAGGCGAATTACAGTTTATCTTAGCCGGCGATCCAATCTACGCGCTCATTACCTGGTGAATAACACCGAACTTCAAGACCAGAAACCACCAGACGGCGCATGCAAAGCTAGAGGATTGTGATAGCTTTGACGTACAGTAGCCTCGCATTGGACGCGATGTTGGACAGATTGTAACTCAGAGTCGCACCATGGGAGAGCAACCTACAGCGACAACCCATCAACGCTTCTCATTCCGTATTGAATATCCAGTAAGCCCGCAAAGGGACCCTGCCAAGCTGAGCGGTATGTGAGTCGGAGGCTACGCTCTACCAAGGTACCACTCCCGCCACGGGTATGCATTCGATTGGAGTCGCCTATCGCAGCCTTGCCCTTTCCAGCATCGCCATCACTGTTTCATTAGACACGCAGTGCCTTCCAAGAGTTTCTCAAACGCCAGGTCTGGGCTACTGACTTTTATTGGCCGATATGACGCAGAAGAGAGAGTTCAGAATAGGGGCACGCGACACGGTATAAGGTGCTCGCGTGCCTAAAACTTGACCCCGAGGAGTTACGAAGCTCGATCTTTAGACCTTTCCTTCGCGCAGTTGGCGATACGTTCTGATGGCGGAGAAGATGCAAAGCACGGCAAATGTGTCGAATGACACGAATGGCGCGTCGACACGGCCGCCACTGAAGAAGCAAGATAGCGATAAAGACTTCGACGACTACTTCGCAAGTCTTTCTCTATACCGACTCGCGCAGTCACTAATGCTGACTAGATTGGACCGCGCGATCTTGATCATCACTCGAAGGTAAGTTCTGACTGTACGAAGTGCATGTGAGACATATACTGACTTGGTACCTCTACCTCTGCAGTGGCCTGTATTTCTCCGCGTTCATGGCAGTGTAACACCTGAAATGGTGCTGCCCTTGCTCTTTGTAGCCGGCTGGTCGAGCATGATAACTTTGATCTCGAAGTTTGTACATGACCGTACGCTAAGCTCTTGTTCTGTTTCCATCCAACGTGTATTGACCACCTCCAGTCAGCGTAAACCAGCTTTTGCTTACTGTACTTGGTTTCGTCGTCGGTCTCGCATTGAGCTTTAGAAGTTCCACCGCCTACGAGCGCTACAACGATGGCCGCAAATACTGGGCACAACTCACTTTCGCGTCCCAAAATCTTGCTCGCCTCATCTGGATACACGTCGATGAACGTCACGAGAAGGACGCCACGCTCGGCAAACAAGACCTACTCGCCAAGATCAACTGCCTCAACTTGATCACTGCGTACGCAGTCGCACTCAAGCACAAGCTCCGATTTGAGCCTCACATGCATTACGACGACTTGAAGCACCTGGTCGGTCACCTAGACACCTTTGCGCGCGACGCCGACCAGCCAGACGCGCACAAGATGCCGAGCATCTTCAAGACAGCAGGACAGTTCCTTGGGCTGCCAATGGCTGAGTCGAACCCGCGCAAGCTGCTGAAACGCAGTCGTGCCCCCCTTGGCAACCTTCCTCTGGAGATTCTCAACCATTTGAGCGTCTACATGAAGTCGATCTATGACAACGGAACCTTCAAAGTTTCCATCTACCAGACGCAATCTCTCAATGCACTCACCACCTTCAACGATGTGCTCGCGGGCACTGAGCGCATTCTGTCGACGCCGCTACCTCTCGCATACAGCATCGCCATTAGTCAAATCACCTGGGTGTATATCCTCCTCCTACCATTCCAGCTATACAAGCTCTTGGGTTACATTACAATTCCAGCGAGCGTCTTTGCAGCCTACATCATCCTAGGCATTGCGCTCATCGGCCGCGAAATCGAAAACCCGTTCGGTAATGATGTGAACGACTTGCCCCTGGACGCATTCTGCCTACAAATCAGGAAGGACATCGATATCATCATGAGCAAATCGGCTCCGAGCGTTGAGGAAATGGTAATGCACCCGGACAATCAGCTTCTCTACCCGTTGAGTACTCTCGGAAGTGCAGGATGGGCGGCGAAAAGTGTAGACGAGATTAGGGATGCGTTGGCGAGCAAGCCTGGTCTGCACTTCCCTCTGGTTGACCACCACGAACACCCCAAGCCGGGTCACTCAGTCAGTACTGGTGCTCGCCGTCGGACGACGAGTGAGGATCGCGCTGAGATGGGTGAGGCCGGACATGGTAGACATAATAGTAGTGCAGGCGATGGTGGAGACTGAACGCATATTGAACGTAGGCTACGTTGGGAGAACAAGTCTATGCAAATTGAATGAATGCATGACATGCCCGTTCGAAAAGCTATGATAAATTATCTCTTGTGAGTCTGATCAGAGCATACAAGCTTTTCTTCCAGTGAAAATCCTCCATGTGCAACGGTGCCTAACATGCCTTTACAGACCAAAGGTCTCGTGTTTAAGCCGAGTGTGGTAATCTGTACCATAGACAACATGAGCGAGAATGACATGACAAGAGTATTTTGACCCTCCGTGCCGTGGTGATGGATAGACTGTGAAGTGAAGTGGCCTATACTGGTATCGCAAATTGGTAAAGATGAATGTAGTGTCCCTGCAGAGGGAGAGCCAGTAGACATGCGTGGACGTTACTGCATCGGCTTACATGGGCGATCATGGCCGTGCCGAGATCATATCTCAGTTTTGCGTCCACTTCCTTCACATACGACCATAAACTCAGGAGACGCAGCGCTTTCTGTCCGCTCAGCGGTGCTCAAGCAGAACACCGGCGGATCAGTAGTTACTGTTGCATGTTTTTGACCTTCTTTTTGCCAACTTGTCCGGATCGCTCCTTCCTCGGTGTCTCGTCAGCCAAGTATTTTTGCAGGATGGACACAGTTTTGCGATGGTAGCGGTTGTTCAGTCTCCCATGGCCGTCATAGTGTGTGTCATGTACCCAAACGCCTCGCTATGCAAATGATATACATCCCAGCTTCTTATCAGAGTGGGTTGACAACCCCAGAACTCTACTCGTCCATCTGCCACTGATATTCCAGCTTCTCAATGTTGGCTTTCCTATTCCTCGAATCAAACCACTGTTTCTCGAACCCGTTTCCTCGATCGATACCGTCCCATCGATGCCCTGGGCGGATGTTGTACCGGTTGGGTTGAAACGGTCCTTGGTATAGAGGCTTGCCTGTAATGCTGCGTCCAGCCTTCTTCTTGCGCAAGAAGCCTGACGCAGGGTCGTTCCAATGCCCTCGCTCCTTCAGCTCGTCGTTGAGCTCCGCGTCGTCTGCGTATCGGGCGATCGTCATTGTCTTCGCGTCCTGTAGCTGTTGTTTCCTGCGCTCTGCATCTGCGTTTTGTACGTCTCCGCGCGCTGCCTTCTCCTTCTCGCGCTTCTTGCGTTCTTCTTCTTCGGCTTTCTTCCGTGCTTCTGCGCGCTTCATTGCGACGTTGATTATGCGACCGCTGGCGTCTCGGTAGATGGTCTCCTGCGCAGCGCTCCCCATTTCCTTTGCGGCCTCTTCGGCTTTGCGCTTCTCCTCGTCTTGTTTCTTCTTCATGGCTGCTGCGACCTCGGCAGCGCTTTGTAGACCTGCTTTGGCGCCCGACTCCATCCTCATGACACCGTCTGTGTCTACCATCTCCGGCGCTTCATCCTCCGCTTCAGCGGCCTTCTCGCGATCGGCGGCGGTCCCTGCTATGATTGCATCTGCGGCGGCAGCGTCGGCAGCAAGTTGTTCGGCGTGTGAGGGCGCGGCGACGCCTACGGCTGTCCATGTTGCGGCACTGGTGCCTTTGGATTTCTTCTTGGATTTCTTGAGAGTGCCTCCGCCGACTGAAGCGTCATTTGTTAGCCTCGAGCTTGCACAAATTGTGGAAATAGAAGTTCGCATACCTATCATGGGCGCATCCTCGTCGTCCTCATCTGCTTTATCTTTCCAGCCCAGATTGTCATCGTCGTCGATGATAAGTCCGGCGTCCTTGTTCTTCCTCTTGCGCTTTTTCGATTTCTTTTCTGAATCTGCCGTGAGGTAGTTCTTAGCCAGATAGTCGGCGAGACCAGACATGTTGAGGTGAGGCGTTGGTTGCGGGTGATGCTGCAAAGGCCAGTCGCGAAGCTCCATACGGAAAGTTGGAGGCTTGGCGCGCGCATGCGTTCCGCATCACGTGCTCTCGTGTTGTCGCGTTCACGGTCGCTCGGCTTGGGCAGCCGCACTCAGTCACCCTACATCTCGGATCATCATGGCACCAGGAGAGCGCTCAGAAGAAGTCTGGCTATGGTACACAGCAGTATACGAAGCGATTCAAGAGGTACCTTCTGGCAAGGTCACTAGCTATGGTCATATTGCCAGGCTGGTAGGGAAGCGTGCGTTGTGTTCCCAGATGACGAGGTCGACTTGCTGACGTGTTTGTCTGATCATAGCCGAATGTCCAAGGTATTACAGCGGCACCATGACCATCGTGTCGCAGCATCACTAACGCATGACGTCAAAGACAAGTCGGAGTTTGTCTCAAGAACTTGCCTTCGCCATCGGCCGATAGCAGCAAGAGTTCAACGTTCCATAGCCGCAACGTGCCTTGGCAGCGCGTGATCAACGCCAGAGGCGGTATCAGCCCGAGGTCAGCACTCCTTGTCACTATAACAAGACTTTGTTGGCTGTTGTTTGATTGCTGACTGGAACAAAGAGGCCCGAGCGCTGCTGCTCAGCAGGCGGATGCTCTGCGGAGAGAGGGAGTGGAGGTCAGACAGGATGCCATGGGCCAGTACACGGTAGATCTCGGTACATATGGCTGGTTCCCTGATGTCCTCCCAAGCGAGGCTGGCTTAGTTGAAAGTAGCGACGAGGAGGATGAAGAAGCGGCCGCGTACCACACTTGAAGCGAGCGCCTGAGGATGCACCTGGAACGGCTGCCTTAGTCAACCATGCCACTCTAGACACGTTAATGTTCCAAGATAGCTGATTGACGGAAGGGCGTCGCATTGCCATGGTATGGGGTACATGTCTTGGCTGGTTCGTAGCAAGCCGCGCACCCGCGTTAGATGGTGGGCTAGACTAGCAGCCGGGCACAGACGCGGCGGCCGAATCCGGGCTCTTATCAGGGAGCGTGGTAAAGGGCGTCATCTAATAAGCTGCGATTGTTGGGATGCATGCCGTGACTGTTGCTGTCTGAGGTGTGGAGGCTCGATGTGGGGTCGGCGATCGGAAGCTGGAGCGACAGCTTGGGGCGCTTGCGAGCTTGAGAGCTCCAGGGCTGGGAGCTTCACGCATGTCCATGCACACCAACCAGGACACAGCAGCCTCCAACTCGCCCACGTTGGCCGCCAAAGGCGTCTGAAACCGCCATGATGGCATCATGGGCAACAGCGTCAAACCGGCTGCGCATCGGGCTAAAGCGGGCAGCAGGCCTCGGCGAGTCGGAAGCTGGAACCTAGGTCATGAGCTCCCACCCGTCGACAGTCCCCTTATCAGGAACCAGACAAGGCGGGGATGGTGCCTACGCCTTTGACGACATAAGGGCGGCGCGAGTAAACAACTGCCTGGCCTGAACACGAGCCGTAATCTTCCATAAGTACCTGCATAGCCACTCTCGTCGCCCCAGCCCTCGTCATCCTGAGTCACTTCTTAGAGTCATTCACAAGACAGCTGCTAGTCATCCGCCGCGCCTCCCTCTCACCCGTGCCTATTACCTCGACACAGCTATCGTACCTGTCGCATCCCATTGTTTACCTTCTCCGTCACACCTAATCTACCTACTAGCCATCTGCCGCAGCACCTCCCAACAACACTCTACATACTCCGTCTATACTCTTGCCAAACCATACCAACCAGTCACAATACATACTATAACTACACCCGTCGATCCAAGTCGCAACACAGACATGTCGGCTTCGCAGACCTTCACCAGCGACCTCCGCAGCGACGCCAAGGAGTTCAACCGCGACAAGAACAGCAGGGCGAAATGGGCGAACGGACAATCGTTTGGCCCTGGCCGGCGACAGGAAGACGGCAAGCCCCGCCCTGCTAAGCTGTACCCGCATATCAAGTGAGTGGCTCCTCCACGGGTCCCGGGTTGCTTATCGGAGTACTAACATATGCAGGGCATCGTATCCCGGCCCCATGAAGGCTCGCACCGCTTTCAACAAGGACATGGCTTCTGCTAGTGACGAGTCGTCCGCCGACGAGGACGTTGACCATCCTTCCGCTGCTCCTGCCCCAGATGCCGAGGTCGCCTACTCATTCGATGCCCATCGCGGTCCCAGCCATGGCAGCCAGATCCTAAACCATGCACTCGACAAGGCTGTGGAGAGGTTTGAAACCAAGGAGACAGAGAAGCTGGTGAAGAACGAGTATGAAGTGCTCGACTTGTACGACGAGGCCCCGCGCCCAAAGCGCCATGTCGCTCCCGAGGATGACGAGTACGAGTTTGTCGACGCGTGAAGGTTTCCATGGACCTCTTGATCTGCCCTCATTCCTTATCGATTCTTCTGCACTTGACTTGCATACACAACTTCCCCGGCGTTTTTTGACATCTGATATCGACTTCGCTGTCGGCTTTCCATCGATGTTTACATTTGCATTTTGTCCATGGCAGCATCAATAGGTGAGCGTTCGGCGCTTTTCTGAGGACTTGAGCAGCCACTATACCCGTTCCGGTTTGCTCTCTTTTCGTTTGGGTACTGGGTTGGACGGTTGTCTACCCATTGGATATGTGATGCCCTGGAGTATGGTCTTTACGTCTCTGCCCTGGGCTCAATTCTGCTGCACACATGTAGTCTATAATCTATCACTAGGAGCGGTGTGAATTCACGCCGTTCAAACTGACCAGTTGGTACTTGATTTTGGTTGTGATTGTGAGGTCTGAGTGATGATGTGCCCGACTCTATGCAGGACTGGAGGTCTGCCGTCGTCGTGTGACAGCCTTGTGATGCAACACGGAACACCCACCCACCCGCAACTGGCCACATCGGCGCATCGACAACATCAAATGTCTGTTGGAATCGGCGCCGAGGCATCACCATGCACGCTCTGCTCCGCGGCCATTCCTCAACTGGGGTGAAAGCGCGACAGCACATGGATTGGGTGGCATAGATGGGGTGCGGCTGATTAGCCTACGTCATCGCCTATCGGGGACCCTTGCGCGGCCCTGGGCCTCACATTTCTAGACTCCCAACGCTTGCGACTAAACGCACAACCAAGGACTCGACGTCCCAACTAACACCGTCGCGACAATTCTAGTCCCACACTATCGCGACACTACCATCACGCATCACCCCTAAGCACTCGGCTTGCCACAGGCACAGCCCCCTTTCATCTCTTTCACCACCCGCGGCCTCGTTGATGGCGCGCGCCGTATAGGGTGATTCAATCCTCTCCACCAACCGTCAACCGTCAACATGACCGTATCCGTCGACAACCCACCACAATCCAAGAGCAGTCGGCCGCGATGGATGCTCCACGTCCAGGCGCAGTTTTGGCGCGTCCTCATGGGCATCGGCATGATGCTCCACCGTCTCGCCCGCCCACGACCACCGAAGCCTGCGTTCCATAGGGACATCGATGCCACCGTCTCGCCATTGAAAGGCAAATTCCGCCTCAACTTCTACGTGCCCAAGGAATACAAGAAGCATAAGAAGCTGAAGGGTACTAAGAAATACCCTGTTGTCATCAACTTCCACGGAGGCGGTTTCGTACTGGGCACTGCACACGACGATGCGCGCTGGTGCGGTGTCGTCGTCGACGAGGTCGGAGCCGTAGTCGTCAGCGTCGATTATCGCCTCGCGCCTGAGAATCCGTTTCCCACGGCTGTCGAAGACGGTGCCGATGCGGTTCTCTGGCTGGCGCAACACGCCGAGGAGTTGATGCTAGATGCAGATCGCTTCGCCATATCGGGCTTCTCCTCAGGAGGCAACATGAGCTTTACGGTCCCGCTGTGTCTGCAGGGCGAGCTCTTCGACCGAACGACATCTGGCGCCAAGATCATCGATGACCGCGCGGGTAGTGTTCCCAATGCTGTCGTTCAGCCTCCTCCCGCATTTGGCCAAAACCTCACCCCGAACGGCTCCCGCGTGCCACTCGTGCGCCAAAAGTCACGCCTCGATCGCATTGCTATGCTCCGCCAGACTGGCGCCTCCTCGCTATCGCTCATATCCTCATATAAAGACAACTCGGGAGTGTCAGTCATGACGGAGGCGTCCAACACTGTCCTCAAGATCAGAGGCATAGTATCCTTCTATCCATCGATCGATTATACGCAAACCCGCGCCCAGCGCCGAGAGACGTGCTCGAGGGTTGACCAGAACCTCCCCGCTGTCTTCACCGATCTCTTCGACGACTCGTATCTCCAACCACCTTCGCTCGATCTTGCACATCCATGGCTCAGCCCTGGTGTGGCACCAAAACACATGCTTGCGGCGCTCCCTGACGACATTGTCCTCTTCTGTTGCGAATGGGACATGCTTCTCGCTGAGGGCGAACGATTCCGCGACCGCCTACAAAAGGATCTTGGAAAGCGCGTGCATTACCACTGTGTACCCGGAGTGCCGCATGGCTGGGACAAGGCGCCTAATCCTCTTAGGGAGAGCCCGGGTGCTCGACAGCAATATATGGTAGCATGTAAAGAGCTGAAGCGTATGTTTGACATTGAGTACGACGAGGACGATTCGCACCAGAATTTGCCATGTAAGCAATATCATAAAAGTGTTGACTTGGGCACCGCGGGTCAGCGGGCGCAGGCCGAAGCATAAGCTGTGGCGTTGTTTTTTTCTTTTTTCATAAAATATGGGTCTTGAGTATAGGTTCATAAGTTTCACATCAGCGGCGTTTGATGAATCTTCGAGACTGAGCGATGTTTAGCATACATATGAACGCGTTTCTTTTTCATGTTGCGAAATTTGGCGAAATCTCGCTATGTGCTGTGTGATGTTGCTCTTTCCCGTGCTCTTTCAGATGTTTTGCTTGCTCACAATTACTACCTTTTGCAAGGCCTCAGTTGTTGCTATTCACTTTGGCATTAAGGAACTGCAGTGTAAATAGTTTTGTATTATGATTACTTGCTAAAAACTGCGATAACGCTGTATGGATTGTTCATAAAAGCATACCCCATCGCTTTACCCGTACGATTTGATGAAAGATTTGAGACACAAGCGCACAACATTAATCAGAATCCATGCTTCGCAAACTCCTTCTGGGTCCACTCCCACAGCTCATTCGCAAGTTTATCATTCTTGAGTATTGCCTGCGTGTACTCGTTCCCATTGCCTTTTGGTGTGTAGAAAGCCCCGCTCTTAACCTCGCTCTTCTTCGCGGTACTGGCCCACAACTGCGCCTTCGCACCATCGGGGACACTCGTCAAGAACAGACCAAAAGCTACAGAAAGGACCGTACCTAGTACAGGTCTTCTTGTCTTCAGATTATCCCAGATGCCCGTGTTGACAACGCCGGGATGGAGAGCTACAGACGTGATGTTTGGGTATTTCTGTGCGCTAATCTTGCTGAAGTAGTAGTTTGCCAGTTTCGATTGCCCGTAACGAGCTACAGAGCTCATATCCTCACAGGCAGTTGTGAGCTTAGGGAAGAGGATACCCTCTTTGGGAGCCTGCTTGAATAGTTCGGAGCTGAGGTTGATGATGCGAACGTCGCTGTTTGGTTCTTCGGCCGTCTTGAGCAGGAGTGGCAGGAGGAGCTTGGTGAAGAGAGTAGGGCCCATGTAGTTGCTTCCAAATTGGACCTCATAGCCGTCACTCGTTACGCTTGCAGGGTTGCCTGTTGTGCCGGCGTTGTTCATTAGGATATCCAGACGAGTGTTTTCGGTGAGGATGCGATCGGCGGCTTGCTTGACGGATGCGAATGATGCCATGTCTACCTCGAGGTAATGTATCTTCCCCTTTGCTGAGGGAACTTGTTTCTCGATCTCTTCGATCGCTGCGTTGCCTCGCTTGCTTGTCCGGGCTGCGAGATACACTTTGTCTGGGTTGTGCTTGACAAGTTGGAGAACACTCTCTTTGCCGAGACCGCTGCTGCCGCCTGTCACAACGATGACCTTTCCCGATAGATCGGGTATGTCTTTTTCGGGGTTGAAGTGCATATTGCAGTTGATGGATCCGACACCTGGGTGTACGGCAGCTTGTCGTTGTAGAAAGATAAAGGATAAATTCAGCGAATGCTAGTATTTGAGGAGGGATGAGTTATTGCAAGGATGTACGAAGATACAAGAGACGAATGGTCGAGTGGGGCTGATGTTGACGTCTGAGGGTGTGTTATTGAATACATATCTGAAAGTGCCATTAACCTTATATATCGTGTAGTCCAACGACGGTCAACGCGCCGAAGGCCCAAGATGCCGCCTCTAATTCACCGCAGATCTCGTCCGAAAGATTGGTAATTTCACCTTGATTTGAGGAATTCTGGCTACTTCGAGCAAAAGGTCAGAAGAGAAGTCCGACTAGGTGGTTGCCCGAGGTATCGTCTTTAAAGTTTCGGCAACACTCGTGACCGGTCGGGCAAACATGTCCCCGCGGCCTTCCATCGACCACCTTGAATGTTCTGCGCTACAGTTACCTTAGCGCCTACTTGTGGTATGTGGTCAGCTAAAATTGCGCCTGCAGCTGTCCAGGAACTCAAGTTCTGTCCCGTCGCAATGCGCGATAGAGCGAAACTCTTCTCGAGTAACTTGGAGTCGACTTTGCGACGAATCTCGTTTTGAATTACGTCAGAGGTAGCCTCGTGGTGTAGAAGTAAGATTACTGAACTTGCTGTCGGATGGTCCCGAGGCCTGCTTCAAAGTCTCTGCGGACTTCTCTCGAGTGCCGCACGGACGTTAAGTGGATTTATTGATTAATCAACACTTCCATTGCGTCCCGAACAGAGTCGATAAAACGTATTGCAGAAACTGTCGCTGTGCGGTGTTCGATATACGCTTCAATGAACGTGCAATTCATCCGGCCGAATGAGATACCCGAAGGAAGGCATGATACAGAAACCGCGGACGTCCGAAGCCATCATATTCTATTGGATCTACGCACAAGTTTCGCACTTGAACTACTCTCTCGAAGGGTGGGAACGATGTATGCACGACGCATGAAAGTGGCGAGCAAGTTCGACCACGTAGAAAGAGAAGAGAAGATGGGCGTGGGTGCTATGGCCAACTCGGAATGTGGAGATGGTCCTGAAGTCCAACTGCGACTTTTGTGCATGCTGCTACATAGGGAGCGAGGGTCGAAGATATGTTGCCAATCGGGAGCCAGTTCGCGAAGCCATTAGGAGTTTCAATTAATCGTCCGAGTCCGTCTGCGTTAGGCGACGAGGAGCGAAGTTCGAAAGAGGTGGGAACAAGACTCGCCTGCTTTGCCTCCCGATGAAGCAGCAGAGGCAGAGACCAAATGGAGCGGTCCTACGCCGCATCGACCGAGGAGTCTTGCATCAATTCCTGCGATACATGCGTTCGAGACTGCGACATCCTTTCCTAGATTGACAGCAGGGTCATCGATATGTCGAAGCTTCGTAAGGGATGTCCAGACCGGTATATCGGTTGCTTCTATATGTCGCAGGGGATTTGATCCGGCACTTGTGGATGTGGACACGCACGACGTGTGCTGGAGATGTTGGAGGAAAGTCGTTCGATTAGCTGCACAATGAGCATGCAGAGTGTATCGGCACATTAGGCGAGCAAGCTGTGGGGTTGCGGCAAGTAAAATGCCTATACTCGCCTTCGGTATGTCCTCTGGATTGAGCGTTCACAGGTGCATTGCGTTTTGCATACTGGGCGTGTTGGTCGCCTAGACAAGGTCGCGTGAGTGCCTGAGGCAGGCCAGACCGTTCATGCCTCGTTTCAATCATCTGTCGCGCGTATACATGCCTGTCTGATTAGGAAGGCGGCGACACCTCGTCCGCAATCTTGGGTAAGTAAGCCCGAAACGTCGCGCCGTATCCACACATGATGTGTTGGGGTCTCATTTCCCAGCGATCATAGGTGGGCGAGGACTTGCTGCTTCAGCGCGGCCCAGTGTCGCAGCTTCTCATGTTCCGCATGTGCACCTCAGCTTGCGTCTTGCAAGAGCAGACGTCAGCTTTGTTGTAGGTAGCCTCGTTGCACGGTGGGTGGGCTTGTTGACGGTTGATAATCTTATCACAGCCAGTGAAGTCGGTCAGATCGTCTTGGCGGCGGATCGCGAAATTGCTCCTCGGCCCAGCGTCGTCTTGAAACCACCTGGCCAAGGTTGGTGCATCCCAACCCTGCAGCATTTGTCGCTTGTTCCCCCCGGTATCGTCACCCTGCCACGGCGCAGACGAGGTGATCCTGCCAATTGCCATGGGTCCCGTTGGCGCGACATGCCGCAGAGCCAATCGAACCACCGATCTCATGCAGCGCATTACCCTTGTCCTGGCTCCGCAACGGGCGGGTTCTCGACTCTGCAATTTCTCCCAGACGCCCCGAAAGTGGATGAGTGATTGCCGCTGGTATGATGACAGCGAAGTGTGGAGGCGCCAGGCTCGTTTCCTGGCGGACCGGTGGTGATACTGGCGCACATTCCGCCGTTCTCTGCATCTCTTCCTTCTCTCAACCTCTCCACGACTGTGTCGCGGCTTGTTCCATTTCTTTGGCTCACTAGAGCTGTCCATTCCTTTACAACCACGCCTATATCTTCCTGTCTTTCCTTCATACTCACTATACCTTCACTCTAACGAATTTGAAACCCAAGATGCCCGGGATGCTTACAAGGTCGAAGTCATTGAGGTTTCTGAGAAACAATCGCAGGGACGCCACGGAGCAAGACAATGGGGCCTCAATGCCGCCTGTTAAGGGTTCTCAAACAGGCGTTGACAAATACAAGCCATCCACTTCCGATTTGAGCACCGAAGTAAATCTAGGAGTCCCAGGCACGGCAGTGCGGCCAAGCACATCGAGTGGACCTGGAGAGCGTCCATTCATGTTCCATAGGAAAACAAATCTTGCACCATCGATCTATTCTCAGGACCATATCCACTCGTTCCAATCGCCTACTACTTCCACAACTGTACTCTACAGTCCAGACGCCACGAAAGAACGAGGGGTTATTGGTATCGCTCTTGGGTCACCCACCTCAGGTTCACATTGGAAATCAACGCCTGAGGCTGCGGTACCAACAACCGACTCGAAAGCCGCCCATCCTCCAATGGCAACACTAAACCACCCCAACGACTCTTCGGCTTCGCTGAGCAGCCGTGTTGAGGCACCCAAGTCCAAAATCAGCCGATGGAAGTCGTTGTTTCGTAAAGCGCCTCCCCCTCAACCAGAAAAGCCATCGTTCTATCAGCTGGCGCAGACCGTTGCCGCGGCACCTCGCGCAGACAGCCACCATGACGAGGAAGCCAATGAGTCCCAGGCAGCTCGACCGGAAGAGAAGGAGAGGGAGAAGTTGCGCAGTGTGTCACCGCCGACCTATAGGCCGAATATCCGAGCATCGCGGAAATGGGCTCCAGGAGAGTTCGTCCCACCTCAGTCGCCACCGGAGACGTCTGCGACCCGAGATCGTGCTATGACGCTCGGAAATATGCCGTCACATGGACCTAAGAAGTCTATGCAACGGTCTTTCACAACACCTGCTCTAGGAGCGCGAGGCGTTGCAGGCGAGGTCCCACCTGTGCCACAGGTTGAAGTATCGGGCACAACCAACAAAGCACTACCACAGAATCCGACCGGGTCCGCAGATGATGGAGGACCGCTTCTGGACGTCAGCCTTCCCGATATCACAATGGAAAGATACAGCGTCATGTTCGGAAACCTCTTGCAGTCCGACCCAAACCGATTATCCCTTTTGGCAAGACGGCAAGGCAACTCCGAGAAGATCAAGCCGCTGCTAGAGCTGTCTGCAAAGGTATGTATCCGCAGGTGTGGCTATTTTCAACTAGGGCTAACGTGAAAGTAGGACGATCAAAAGGACGAAAGTCCCGTAGATTACAATCTCCAGCGCAGGGTGACGTCGCCCGCTCCAGCGTCTGGCTCGCCACGACTGTCCCTATTTCCGTCCACCAACCCCGGCCGCGCACCGTCACCTCTGTCAGGATCTATCATGAGCCGTAGCAAAAAGGATCTGAAGCGGTCCCGGACGATGCCCACGAAGTCTCCCCTTCAGCAAACTTTCGCTCAGAATACAGAGAACACGACAAGACAGATGGATTCTACCAAGCTGAAGCCTGTAGCATCTCCGTACCTGAAGCCAGCATTGACTCCTACCTCGATTTGCAGCTTCGAATCTGAGGCCGAATCGATCACGATTATAGTCGCCCAGGCATCACCCGGTCATCCTAAACCGATTACGTTGCATCTTGACGAGCGAGAGCCTGAATGGGAGATCTGCACGAAGCCAGTGAGGGCTCTGAAAAGCGAGACCCTTACAGTCAACAGCGAGCCGTCGTCCCCACTAATCCGCTCGCCCTCGCAACAGCAGCCGAAGGTGACCAAACTCAGCGCGCTGTCATCGCACCCGTCTTCTGCACCTCTTGACGCACCCTCCCCACTGCAGAGGTTGCAGAGCTTGTCAACTCCACCACACTCGGCCAGTAGACTCGGTGAGAAGCGAGCTGAGATCCAAGCAAGGAGAAGGGAGGGAAAGACAGAAGAAGTCGGCACAGCGAAAGCCATGGTTGGCGTCGCAAGAAGTGTATCTGTCAGCAGAGCGAATAGCCCAAGAGGCGTGGTTCGCACTTTGACGAGTCCGCACGAGGATCGTGTGGTGGATCGATTGGCCCTCACCCCCACGATGGTGGAAGTCAGGAACCGGAAGAGCCAGAGAGTACAGCTCGAAGACGCATAAGCTTTGTCTCTTCATTCACTTCTATAAACTTTCGAGAACATCTCATTCTTCTTTTTTTCGTTTGTCCTTCTACGTTGAATCGCGTTTCTAGCGATCGGGACTTGGTATTACTAGGGCGTTGTGCGCTGATACACCGAGAGTTGCAAAATGTACTCGCGTGCCATTTGGGTTTATGCGGGTTGTTTCTTATAAGCGGGGGTCGTTCTGGTTGCATTCTCCAGGATATCCCTGGACTTCTTCATGTGCGGATAGGGATGATTCGAGACGTACTGCTGGTCGGTGAAAGGATAGGGTTAGGCGAAAGACTTTGGTACCGCTAGAAGGCCTGCAAGCTTGCGAATGGAAATTCAACACCTATCACTGCGCTTATTGTCACTTTGTCGCTGATTAGAGCCTATGAGTTTTGGGCTCCTGCTGAACGCTGTGCGTCCCGAAACCCACATTCCTGGAATGGGGCCGAGAGGATCGACCGGTGAACCGGCAGAATGCATCGCATCGGCGCTGTTTCGTATGTATACAGGGTTGCGAACGCTTTCGAGATGTATTCTGGTACTGCGAAAAGCTGTCTAGAAAGAATGAGCATTCGGTTGAGTGTGTTCTGGCACAGACTTCTCGCGCGTACTCTTCGTAGGCAGGCATGGCCCACGGTCGCAGCTACCGTTTGGAGAAGCGTGGTGGCTATGGCGCGAACCACCTGGCCACCCCCGCTCGGGAGCGGAAGCAGGAAGGCGCACCATCATCTCACTGCCGTCCACCCAGCAGACTTCAGCCAAAGTGACCGAGCTCCAGTCTCTCGTCTCCGAGACCTACAGCGCACACTACCTAGTTACATGCTGAATTCGTATCCTGCAAGGAGGGCCGGCTCTCAAGCAACTTTCGGGGTGTGGCCCTCACCATTCAGCCCCCACCTCTTGGCGAGCAGCAGGCCTCAAGCCTCACCCGTCACGATAGGCCCTCATACTGGCAGCAGAGCGCATCTGTCAAATTAAGAGCCGGACTAGTCAGAGATGTGGCTGCAAAGAAGCCACCAGCCAAGCCTTTCCTGCTTTACGATACAGTATGCCACTCGCTTCCAGGCTAGACGGCATCACACAGCCCGCCTGGCCTGAAGCCATCGCTACTCATCATTGGAGCGGCCGCGCTAGATAGCACAATGAGCGCTGCACCTCGGTCAAGCAATACTGTCGCCTACGCCTGGCTCAGCAAAGGCTTAGCCTAATGTAAACAGCGGTCGCAGGCCACCCAGTCAGACTCGAGCGAGGCGGAGTACCGATGGGAAGGAACCCTCTTCAGCCTTCTGAGGGACTTCCCCTTCTCACTTTACAATCAATCTATTCTATTTCAGCTTGGCTATCCAATCTTCCCCTTCGGCCTCCATTGCATTATCTTACACGACGACTCTACGTGTAGCTCTGCTTCCTCTCGTCCTGATTGAACATGTGTTAGAAAGACCCATCACTGCGCGCAGTTGGTGATTATCGCAGGCCTAGTCAGCCCTAAATCCGAGGATCAGTCGAGACTTTCGGTTTTCAGCCTGCTCAGGCTCAATCATCCTCGATCCAACGAGAACCAGGACCAGAAACCAGTGGAAGGCTTCGCACTGATGGTCTCAACACGATCTGGGAGCGCTATTTAGCCAACCAGCAAAGCAAAACGGCTGCTTTCGAGGGACAATAACTCGTTATCGAGAATGTCCGGTCTTGAGGTAGGTCTACTCTCTTATGCCCCGAAAATTCATCTGCAGGTGTGCGCACGCGACCTCGCCCAAGAATACAAGTCTCCTCTTCTGACTGTTGCTCACAATTAATCAGATCGTCGCAGCAGTGTCTGCTGTTGTTTCCGCGTTCCACGGTGGATCAGAGCTCCTCAAGCTTGTCAAGCAGAAACGCCGCGCTCGTAAAGCCCGCGATCAAGGTCAGCAAGAATGGGAGGAGGAGCAGCTACAAGACTCTCTTATCGCTGGAGAACAGCAGATCGCTCTAAGATATAAGCAAGATCAGAGAGAATTGGGTGACTATGTGCGCGTTGGAGATGGTAAGTTCTACGAATCAGGCTCGTCTAGTGGACTTGAGAATTAAGACATGCGCACAGATACCGCTCGGGAACGTCTCTACCATATAGGCTTCATGCTGCAGGCCGAAATAATCAACAGCTTACGGCAAGCCGCTACGAAGTGAGTGTCCAGATGTTTGGCATATCGGGATAGAGCTAACGTTGAGCCTTCAGCGAAGTTTGTGTGCTTAATCTGCATGTCCTCCACGAAGCCTCCATTACGAACCGAAAAGAGACTCTGACGACATTGGACGAGCTGAAACAAAGAATCTACATAGCAAAGCCGATGGTGCGACCGTTGAGGGCGGTCGGTGGGAACTATAAGGACATATCAAGTGACTCGAGGCATGGCCAGATACGTTCGCTGTCAGATAGCTATCCGACCGCAAGCTTTCCATCGCAGAACGATTTTGGTTATACTGGACACAGTCTGCCCGACTATTGCCGGCCCCAAGACACGTCGAGAGCGTCTCGCGCGGCCTATACCCCTACACAAGCTGCGGAGCCTGTGATTCTAGCTCTGGACAGACTTCGCCCTGAAGACCGCGCATCGATTATGAATGATATCCAGCACATGATCAGCTCTTATCAAGGCCTCAACGTCGAAAACGAGTCAAGACTAGGGAAACCCCACAGGCATAGTGGTGCCTATCCTACCCGCCGAGAAACGCTGACCACGCTCAATGACCGAGACGCATATACTGAATCAATACAAGAGCTGGATAGAAGCCTGAATGAGCGTTCCCATGATTCACCATTGGCTTCCGGTCAAGTGAATACCGTCAGGCCGATAAAGGAGCAGCATGTCTACAATCAATCGCACCCCGCAAGTAGTTCATTTCACCAGACAGGAACGCATACACTACATCCTCGATGGTCTGATACCTCTAGCTCTACGCAGTCTAAGACAGCTTCTCTTGGCCGTAAAAGCTCCAACTCATCGCAAGGTGAACATGCCCGACCTCCAGTAGCACCATATGATCAAGACGATGAGATTCGTAGTGCTCCACCATACAGCTCTCCCTATATGGCCCCAGAAGACAGATATACACCTTCTCCCATTGCACCGCTGGCACCTTTACGCCCTCAATCTCATGCGCCGCCCATCAATACACCCAAGAACGACGCAAATGCACCTACGCACATGCCTTGGCCTGGATCACGACAGCAACGAGATCCTTCCCCTTCACTTTCCCAAACACCATCCGTACCGTATACGCAGCCACAGCAATATCCTGCACCAGCTGAAGGACACCTTGCCGGCCTTAGACAATTAGTGCACCCTCAGCATTATATTGCACCTGCAACAGAACGCGGCATACCCGGTCAGGGTAGCAACGGCAACTCCCAAGCGGCTGTGTATAGTTCTCCAACAGCAGCCGCTACTTCTTTGATGCCAGTTTCTCCAGCTACAAGTCGACCTCGACATGCTAGTTTCACGCCCTCTGTCGCCTCAACCGACAGCAGCAGCTCTATTCCAATCGGCATCCTTCCAGGCCACCGCATGCGCAACAACATCAGATCCGATACTATTCAAAGCGGACCAGCAGGTGGTGAAAGAATGATGAACGGCCGCCCTAACAAGGACAACGATTACTGGGGATTTTGCAAGGGTGCCTGGGCTGTCAGAGAAGACCTTAAGAAGGGTATCACAGTCCGCACTCAGCCCTGCGGCTACTACAACACAAAGCAGATTTGGGGGTGTAAGCATTGTACCTTCACGGGCGACGTCTTCACGAAGCCGCACCCCACGAAAAAGAACAAGACTGTCGAGATAGTGGACCCGCGTGTCAAGACTTCCATGTCCGGGATACGGTATCGGTAAGGGTTCCCATGTATAGACTGCATGTGAGAGACATACTGACTACTTCTACCAACATTTAGGTGGATCTTTCTTGCCAAATCGCATGTAAAGAAGAAGGCAGCAGAACCTAGCTCGAACGATGATAACTTCGGCTGCCTGCTCTGCTCAGGGCAAGACAAGGTCACGGGCGTTTATGGTGGTGTAGAAACACTTATGAACCATATTGCGCTCACGCATGTGACGGATATGAGTGAGCAGGCACAAAAGAAAGCCAATTGTATTCTGGGCAGAGTAGCGGGCTATGACGAAGACTTTGACATTAACATACCGATTTTTAAAGAGGCGGAGCTTGCTGGCTAAAGAGAAACATCGGAATTTCGAACTGGGGCTGGGGATAACGGCGTTGCGGAATCGTATTCGAGGATACCCTTGCTTTTCGTGTGCCATGTTGTAACATAAAGACCTTCACGGTGATCTATACCGATCTATCATACAAGCAAAGCACTTCGAATCTCTTTATCGTGCAATTTTGATACAACAGCCTTCTTCGCACTGTCTAAAGCATGTGTTTATATCTAGCCTTTTCAGATCAAGTACAAGATGAAAGCGCACGATCAGTTCGATCAATCTGATCGACCAACGGCATCATTTGATTATTTCTCCGACTTCGACGGCTCCGACAGCGACGTGCCTGGCCGCCAGTTCTTGTACCGTTCGGCTTCATCCGCAATGGTATGTGGGACGTGTTGCTGCAGCGCTTGCTCAAAATGTCGCATGTACACTCTCGGCTCGCTATTGGGATCCATTGTGTAATCCGTGATCGCCAACTCGATAGCAACAGCGCACAATCCACTGATGTCTGCTCCACTGCTCCCGTCTGTCTTCTTGGCAACAACATCGAGATCGACGTCCTCTGCGAGCGGTCGCTTCCGCGTATGGATTTGGAGAATCTGCTTCCGCGCTTCTTCAGTTGGGAGGCCGATGTGGATGTGTGCGTCGAAACGCCCGGTACGGATGAGCGCCGAGTCGAGAATGTCAGGCCGATTGGTCGCGCCGATGATGAACACATCCTTGAGTGCTTCAATACCATCCATCTCGTTCAGCAGCGTTGTAACGACATTGAGACCGCTATCCTGTGTCTTTTCGCGCGACTTGCCGATGGAGTCGATTTCGTCGAAGAAGATGATGCACGGCTTTGCTGCGCGTGCTCTACGGAACACATCCCGGATAGCTCGCTCGGACTCGCCCACATACATCTTGATGAGTTCAGAGCCTTTGACTGCGAGGAAGTTTTGTTTACTCTCCGTTGCAACGGCTTGTGCGATCAGGGTCTTTGCGCAACCGGGGGGGCCATAGAGTAGAACGCCTTTTCGGGATTGAGGGCCACCGAATTTGATGTCGAGGTCGGGATACTGGAGATGCGATTAGCTTTGAGCCTGGTTGCAGAAGTAGATGAACGCCTAAGGGTGCATCGTACACGGCCGTGGGAGATATAGGGATGACATAGGAATATAGCTTACCTTAAATGGGCGAATAGTAATGGCTTCAAGTACAGCGCGAACGTGATCCAGACCAGCGATATCTGTCCATCGAACCTTGGGCACTTCTAGAATGCTATCTTTGAGGACCGTCGGTTGTACTTCTCCGAATACGGCATCGAAATCTTCCTGACAAACATAGTCTGTTTGCTCAAGCTTCTCGCCAAAGGTGGTCTTTTCTTCCTCGCTTATCGTCTCATCCATCTGTTGTTCGCGTCGGTCTCGGGCGAGAAGACACAGATCGTGGATGTCGCGTCCGACGAAACCGTGTGTGCGCTCTGCCAGCGATGGGAAGTCAAGGTCTCCAAGTTTGCTCGTAGTGCCCAAAATTTGTCGGAGAATATCTTCCCGCTGAGTGGTGTTGGGTGGAAAGAGCTCTAGCTTCGTTTTGAAAGCTGACGGTGATCGAAGTCTGGTATCAACATCGTATATGCTACGCGCTGCTGCTGCGACGACCACTTGGCTACCGCCCAGCTTGGCCAACTCTTCCCGCAGCCTGTTTACAAGTGTCTCAGCTTTTTCGAGAAACCTGTCGAGATTATCCATTATGATCAAGCTCGGTTGGTTGTCACGAGCGTCCTCAAAAGCATCGGATATTGCCTTGGCTTGTCCTTTTGGATGCGTGTCTGGATCTACTCGGTAAACTTCTTGCCATGGGCATTCCGCTAGCCGTTCTAGTAGAAGACTTTTGCCTGTACCCTCGGGGCCGTGTAGTAAGAAAGAAGTAGGTCCACAAAGGCGTACGTCGCGTTGATGAGGTAGAGTGTTTGTGAGGTAAGAGAGGCGTCTGTTCATCGTAGTGATGTGAGCAGAAAGTCCACCGATGCCATCACCCCTTACCTGGAGAATCTGCTTAGAAGCTCTCGGGGTCTGTTGAGTAGGGATATCACCCGTGGTAGTGACTTCAGTAGTAAGTTCGTCGAAGTATGTCGCGTACTTCTCAGTTGGCAGCGGATCAATGTTCTGCACAGTGACACGCAACTTCTGGCTCTTTTGCTTGAAGCCTTTTTGCTGAACTGGAAAACTGCATCCCGGAAGAATGATGTCAGAGTCCACTGCTACATAGCTGTCAGAAACAGTAGTCAAATATAATCGTTGACCTACCTAAAGTGTGTCGTAGCCAATACAAAAGTTGCTCATTCGAGCTAAACTTGGCAGTTTGATTTGGTGCATCTGCGAGACTGATCTCTATGGATTTGAGAGGCTTCCAGGAGTCTACCTTCTCGATGAAGACGGGATCGTTAAGCGAGAGGTCGTATTGCTCTCGCAGAAGATCAGACACCTTGGCGATTGGCTTGTTGCCAGGATTTGTCTGCGAGGCTAGCCAAGCCACTCCATAGCCTTTGAAACCGGCAGCAGTACTCAGCCGTACACAATCGCCATTAACAAGCCCCAACGTTTTCAGCTCTTTCTGTGATAAATGAATACGGAAGGCGCCGCCCTCGAGTGCGTTACTGGGAATGCTCGGAGGGTTGCGCTCCAGAGGGCGCAGAGTGTAAGATGTTGCCGGGCTCATATTGTCACCGCGCACTGCAGCAAATGTCAAGACGGGTGGTGAAAATCTCGGAAGTGCTTTGGGTGCGCCGTTGGTGTGACTCACGTCACGTGTGTACTGAAAGCTTCAACTTTGGAAGTCTCTAATTAGCATGCGAATTCATCTCCACCTGTACCTAGGTACCATTGCCTCTTAGCGCAGCATTGTCAGGGCCCTCCAGTGCAGCCCAATGTGGTGAAAGATGCTGGGTGACTAAGCGATGGGGAAGCTAGGCCAGATGGGTGTGCTAGCGCGGGTCCATTCCGAAGCTTTTCTGAGTATCGCGCTCGAGAGAGGGTAGCTTGCCATGTTACGAAGCCGTGCAATTTATGCCACCGCCGCGCCTTCCTCGACATCTTCGGCCATGTCATCCTTCGGGGACCGCGTACCAGATTCGCTGCGCCCACAGGACGACGCCCGCACCGTCCTCGACCGTCGGCGATGAATCCCCGCAAACCACCACTGCCGACAGCCACACAACAGAGAAAGAAAGCTGGTTGAACGGGGGTTTGATCAGACTTGTACCCTGGACCCGGACTACACCGTCTACCAAATCGCAACCGCCATCGCCGCCGCAATCGCAATCGCAATCGCAAGCCCAGAACCGTCCTACGTCCGAATTGAATGAAGAGGGGAAGGGCATATCCGAAGCACAGACATATGGCACTGGTGCTGTGGTGATCAGGAAGACCACTGAATCGCTGGCGCAGCGCCAGCGAAGGGTATTGCATTCACATTCGGGAACACGCCCACAGGACAAGCACACAGGGAAGGCGGACAGTCCAGATCAAGATTTTGAGTCCGCGAGGAAGGCCGAACATACTGTGGAGAGACGCTTGGGCCAGCCAGCTGTTGTAAGGAAGGTTCTGGCCTTACCTGTGTCTCCCGAAACAAGAGAACGTGGACGGAAACACCAAGACCCTATACGCAAAGATCAGAGTAGGCAGAATCCGACCACAAGTAACGAGAAGGAGGTCGCTACAACTCTTCGAGATGACGATGCTACAGTCATACGTCAGCAGCTCCAGGGCCTGTTTGAGCAAGTCAAAGCCCTCCAGGCCGCATTAGAAACAAAGATTGCGCTGGGACAGCTGCCGTCTTCGTCCCCCAGGGAACAGGACATACCGACTGCGGCACCTGTTATACCCCGGAACGATGCATACCCTTCCACCCCGATACAGTCGTTACTAGGACATGCTTCAATGAGCGGCGATCCGGTTTCTTTCCGTCATTCTGATACTTCCTATCCGAAGACCCTGTCTCGCACACTTGAGTATAGCCAGAAAGCCCTCCGTAAGTCGGTCTACACATTAGGCAGTGTGGCTACAGAGCTAGAAACAGCACGCTCTCTAGCAGTGGCTCCAGTTACCCGACATGCTCGTGACTGCATACGCGTATTGGATGAAGACGCAGCAATCGAGGGTGACTTTGAGCTTAAGCAGGCTCTAAGAGCGTCATACAGGAACTGGGAATTGCTCCACGCGGAACAAAAACACTCTGCTCGCGTGAATGGGCGACCGGATCTACTCTTGAAGCTACACGTCAGCGACATAAGAGCAACGTCATCCAAGATTGGCAGTAGTGTGAAAGAGCTGAAAAAAGACCTTGCTCGTATTTCACCAACCACGCCAAGAGCGCCGAAACCAGTACTCCCGTCGGTGGAAGAGTATCGCCGGCAAGCCCGCGAACATGCCGAAAACGTGAAGAAATTCCCAAGAGGCTCTGAGCTGAAAAGCTCAGAGAAGAAGATTGACAGCGAGAGGTTGACGCGAAGGATTCATACACAGTCACGCCTAATGAAGTCGTCAGACGGCTTGAGCGCCACTACTGGAGACGGTGACGGAAAGAGTACAACGACGGAGCAATCTATGAGGACATCGCCGCTTTTGCAGCAGAAGCCAGAGGTTAGCCCATCCACTACTGCCAATCTATCACCAAAACCAACACGGGGTACCGCCGAAATGAGTGAGCAATCGCTTCTTGAAGAACTCTTCCCGGAGGCAAGCACTACTCTGCAACCTCGTCAGCCCGAGCAAAGCGATAGGTATCCCAAGCTCAACCTCCCGGACTCAACGCCTATCGTTCGTCGGGAAGTTTACGACCCTACTCCGTCACTCAAAGAGCAAGTGGTCAATTCGTTGCGCAAGCAGGGGGAACAAATTACCGTTCTTCAACTCACGAACTGTAGCACTGAGCTGACTGAAGCCGACTTCCGTCGCATCATACCAAAGAGCAAGCACATTGAGGGTTGGCATCGAGATGGCGATCTTTATAAGATTGTGCCTGGTCGTGACCCGCTGAGTCTAGAGCGACTGCCCTTCTACTACTTACTTTTCAAGAACGCAGAGGCAGCCCTCGCGTATCAGAAGAATGCTTCGAGATTGCACAAGCTGAGCGCTCTCCACCAGCCCGCGAGTATCTTTTCCGCTATTCCACCCCCTAGAGGGTTCCTCGAAGAGGGTGAAGATATCACAGCTGCCATCTCATCCTACAATCTTCTACCCGCACATCACCCCATGAGTCTCAATGTTCTCATGCAGCCCTATAACCCCGTACTGCGTACGTTGGTGGAGAGAGGCGGCTACCAACCCATCGCGCCCTCGGTCGACGAGAAGGGAAACCCCGTATGGAGGGTGCTCATGCATATCGAAGGCTACGAGCCTAGCACGTCGGACCTTTTCAAAATCTTCTCTCGCGATGCCTACAAGCATGGCATGACTCTTCCCCTGCGCAACGAGTCGCAGACATCGATTCACCGTCTTCGCGACGTGATTAATCTGAAGACGTCGTCCAAGGCCGTCTCGTCGAATCGGCCTCGCGCATATGGCACCTTTGAACAGCCAGCGAATCCAGATTTGGAGACGACGTACGATGACCCGGCGATTCAGAGCATGCTATCTGGTGCAAACGAAGACAGCCCCAGCCAAACGAATCAGCTAGTCATGAACCGCGTATACAATCGATGGGTGCTGGATTTTGAAGACGAAGACACGGCTCGCAGATGGAGTGTGAGGTGGCATCGCAGAGTACTGCCTGAATTGAGCCATACCAGGGGCGCGTGGAAAGACAGCGAGGAGGCGAAGATTTGCAACACTGAACTTTTGTGGTGATGCAGTAGATGTATGATAGTCTGTATATGTAATGATGAGTTTGCCTAAAGATACAATCTAACTGTCTGCTACGTTGTGGTGTGAAACACCGGGTATCATAATGCCGTATCTCGTGCGCTCGTTCCTCATGTCAAGCCTATGAAAGTGCTACGAGCTCATGCCGGCGGCAGTGAGGAAGGCCGGACTCCAGTATTCGTTCTCCCCGGCTTGTGTGTCGACCCAGACCAGACTGTCTGCCATGAGGTCCTCAACCACAGCATGGGCTCGAGGCCTCTCCCAGTTGAGATTCAGCTGCAACATGGATACTGTGACGTAGCCAAGAACCTGTATGGCTTCGAGTACCGTGCTCTGGTCGGTATTCAACTCCTTGGGTACGCTTCTTATCAAACTTCTGTGCCCAATCTTCATGATGGAGAAGCAAGATCCGAGCGGAGCGAGCGAGTCCACGGCGCGCTTGATGTCGTCATCGCTGACTTCCATGCTCCCGCCTATGCGCTGGGATTTGGATATGCGGGCTTTGAGATCCGAGACGCTGATGAGCCCGCCGTTCTCTGATCTCGTGACCCGGCACTCTTCCACGATCAAGACGCCCAGGTTGAAGTAGAAGTCATTCACACTCCCGCCCAGCAGTTGTGCCCAAATGCTCTCCCCGCCGGCGCCACTTGGCTTGCCATCTTTATTGTCCCGGTGGTACGAGGAAGCGAGGAAGTCGATGTTCAGCGCCGAGCACATGCGCGCGAACTCGGCGCGGAAAGCAGGGTTGGCGCGAATATCCTTGGAGTGGGTGACGGCGAAGTTGTGGAGGAGCGACTGGAAGACGGACAGCTGGGTCGAGAGGGAGTCGGCATTGCGGGTTCGCAGCGTGGCGCCGTGCGACGTGTAGTGGTGGTTCTGCAGGCCGCGCGACGAGAGCGACGAGAGGCCGGGGGTGCGGCGGCGGTCCATGGCGGCGGTTGTGCGCGTGCGTCTTCAGTGCGTCGTCTGTTGGATGGCTCGGACGGATGCTTCTGCAGGTAACATGAAGAGCGTGGGCTTATGTCACCTGCAACTGCTCCCTTGCGTGCGCGCTGGTCTCGGGGCGTGGGTGAGGGTTTCACTGCTGGCAGTGGGTCGGGCCGGGCGGGGTAGGGCGATGAGATATCGTCGAGGTTGCACGTCGCCCAGGCAGATCGCGTCTAGACAACAGGATGGCTGCCACAACGGCTTCTTGTCAAGGGACACCCATCAATCAGCTGGTTCCCTCGAGCACAAGTGGAGAGTCGGAATGAGATCGCCATCCCGAGCCGAGCCTCGTACTAACTCAATGACGCATGGCGTGTGTTTCGGGGAGATATCGGTCACTCTTTACCGGTACATGGCATCAGATGTCGACAAGCTCCCCCGATAGCTACTCATGCGGCGAAACAATCTTAAGCGCTGGGGGCGACGCGTCCGTTCGACCTCTGTCCCTTCCTGACCACTTTCAGCGTCTACGTACTTCCCTTGGTCGCGTTCATTGCCTGGGCCCTGCATCAGAGCTAGGCTGCCGCGCTCACGTGTTTTAATATTTTCGCGTCTTGCCCTTCCTGGAATTAATGATACCCCATTTCTCACCTGCTCGAGTAGAGCTTTGCGAACAACCTATTCTCAAAATTCTCCGACATTCCTGGTTCGAGGAAATCTTTCGCCCTAGGATGGACCCGTCAATAATCAACAACTGCGTACTGCTGCTGAATCTGCCCCCCAAGGCACTTGCCGGCATCGACCTCCTGTCCTTCACTTCATCACCACGTTTTCGAGGAGTCAAAAACATTCCACCAGGCCTGCATTTCGTCTTCACTGCAAGCGACAGCACTTTGTCTGTGAGGCACGGCGCCTGGTTCTACGTCACCCCTGGCGTAGGCTCGCCGCAAGTCTTCGTTAAGAAATGGGACGAGAGCACCGAAGACCTCGTAGCCGAAACCTCGCAGACCGAAGTTCTGAGACACAAGGCGAACCTGGGAAGCATATGGAAAGATGGCCTGACACCTTACCGACAAAGCGTCCAGGAAGGGGACTCTGGTGCTGAAGAAGGCTGGTCTGAGGAATCTACCGACTGGAGCAAGCTTACATCGCAAGTCACACCCACTATGCTATCGAGGATATGTGGCCTGAATCCGGATCACTGGAACTTGACATCCGCATCATCCGCCCCACAAGACCTGGACGAAATACCCGGCCTAGAGAACAGCAACAGCATGCTGCATCCGGAGAAGGAGCTACGGTTCTTACCCATCGATCTGAAAAAGACCTGGAGAGAAGGCGCGACCGGGAGGGAACGCACGGAAGCCGCGCAAGACCGATCCTGGTTTCTGGGAGATCTCATCGACAACCACTGCCAGGCGAGTGATCTACGTGGACGAGAGGACGAAATCTTGGGCGAGCTGCAGTTTACTTTCCTTATGGTCTTGACCCTCAACAACAACTCCTGTCTCGAACAGTGGAAGCGGCTCCTGCGCCTTTTACTCACATGTCGGCAAGCCGTCAAACAGCGATCGCGCCTGTTCCTCGATTTCTTGCGATGCCTGCGGATCCAGCTTGGCCATTGCGCTAATATAGAAGGCGACTTGTTCGACATGAATGATGTTGGCGGAGGCTTCTTGAAACCGCTCTTCGGCCAATTCCGCAAAGCTCTCGACGACTTCGACGGAAAGTGGAAAGCTGACTTGGTAGATGAGCTAGAGGATCTGCAAGAATATATGCAGAAAGAGTTCGGATGGGAACCAGAGGGCTCTTATCTAAAGCGCGGTATGCTTGAGCTAGAGGACGGTGAACGAGTAGAGATGGAAGTCAATGGTGCAGACGCTGATGAGGAGCTTGGCGACTACGCGCCTACTGTCGTCGACCTGACCCCAGAACAGCAAAGACTGCTGAACCGGAGCGATGTCGGTCATGCAAAGCCAACGAACGGCGACGTTGATTCAGAGTCAGAAGACGACGTTGATCTAGACGATATGGATACGAGATACTGAAGCCATGAAAAGGCCGTGCATAACCGGTGAAATTGAATCAGTCTGCCCACACGCTCAGCTCACCGGTTCTGTCTCCGCACACCTGGTCTCGTTACGTCTCGGTTGGTCGAATCAACAAACCTTGCGGCGGCACAGCGGTGCAAAAATAGGCATCTGCAGGAACGGGCAGCCCCTAGTCGCTAGTAGATATCCTGTAACCACGTGCTGATCGCGGTTATCTGCACAGCCTTACACCTAATGTCAAATGCCATCATACTTGTGCGCAATGTCTACTTCGAGCTCTAATGTGATGTAGCCAAGACGACGTGGCAACAAAGCATGCCGATGTCCGTTGTGGTGCGGCGTGTCAGCCAGGCGTTCAACGCAAGGCTTTGCATAATATGAGAATAGTATAGATTTTGGCCCCCAAGTTCAGGACTGCGTCAAACCGCTTCGGGAAATTACAGCCTTGGCTCGCTATTCCCTGGCACGCTACTTGCACCCTTCATCGCCAACGCCCTTCGCCCCATCACCAATGCGGACAGCTGAGGCTGAAGCGCCTCCAAGTCTTGCATACAGTCATGCTACGTGTACGAGATTCGGACCGCTCATTGGCCTCGTCAAGCAGCTAAGAGCCTTACGCGGGGTGAACGGCGAGTGATCATCACGCGAAATGAAGGCTGTGCTTGCGATACCCGGTTTGAGCCCCCCTTGGCCGTGGACCCAAGCGATGATGGAACGCCTAAAGGCTTCGATAAAAGCCACGTCCAATCTCACATGTTGTGGTAAACGCCGCTGCATAACACCCAACTCGTTTGCTGCATTCACACCACCGAAACACGAAACAGTATTCCACCGGCTTCAACGATATAAACCTTCACAATGGAGAAGCAAAACGGTTAGTAATTACCCTCCGACTGTTGTGTATGAGTTCTACGCGAATCAATGCGACTTAAGAACTACGCCGTCATGAAGCGCATAGTCCTTTGAATGACTACGCCGCCTAGCCTTCAATTTCCCTATCTCAAATACCATGACTATCTTGCTAACAGTCTTAAAGTGCCCATGCAGCAATACCCTCAATCGCCAGACGCGACCGGTCAACCACCCATCTACCACCAAGATCCCAACGCACAATACCAGCAGCAACCAGCCATGTACACACAACAGCCTCAAGATCACCCTACTGGCTCGCCAGCGCCTCAGCATCCGCAAGGCGCATACGTGCAACCTGATCACGCTGGCGCCCAGCCTGGCATGCCTCCCCAACAACAAAGCGGAGCCGTCTACCAGAACGCCACACCAATCGCGAACTTGAACCGTGGACCTGCACCTACAGATTGCCCTGCATGCGGACAGCGTGCCATGACCAACGTTGCTTTCGAGACGGGAAACTCGACGCACGCCTGGGCTCTCGGTCTTTGCTGCCTCTGCTGCTTGGGATGCATTCCTTATGTGATGAACTCACTCAAGGACGTCCAGCACAAGTGCGGTCGCTGTGGCGTGCTTCTTGCGACTTGGCACCGTAGCGGAAGCACCGAGGTTCACATCCACTCTTAGATCATGTTGTAATTGTGCTAGGGAGTTGAGTGCACATAGAGAGGGGAAGGAGGTGCGCGATGGTTTGAGGCGGATGATACCCAGGGGGAGGACAGGGCGTTGAAGCAATCGGGTGCAGTGTGGGTCAACCAGCCCTGATTTTGTCTGTTATCATGAGGAGTTTTGCGAAACAAGTTGCTTTATAGTACCCGCTTTGATCAAATCTGAATGAGAACATTTAGTCTTTACCTGAGTTCTTGTTGACCGTGCCGACGCGTGTTTGAGTGAAGCCAACGATCCGACGCGCTAAACCGAGAGATACTCGTTCAAGAACAATACACAGGTAGTTTTTGGAAGTTGCACCCGGCAAAAGTAACTTTGCCGTATGGTGCATGATTCAACTGATGTGCTGATGAGATGCGATGTGTCGTGAGCAGGATGCTCACCCCATCCACATGTGCGTATCGCTCCAAAATGCATACATCTGACGTCACCAACGGTCATCGCGCATCGACGCACATGGGAAACCAGAACATGCAGGCTGCGCAACACCATCGGCCCAGCGCCACACATCGTGAAGAATCGAAAGCAGATCCGGCACCAAAATGCCGCGAAAGCCACTTTCCTGACATCACCGCCACCAGATCAGCCACACAAAAGCCACCGCTAGCGAAACCAAGCTTTGGCTACATGCACCAAGCTTTTGGCAGGTTCCAAGATTCCTTGTGTCAGACCGCTTAATCGCGTTAAGATCGCCATGCCCTCCACATCACCATGCCGCCAGCCGTCCAGATCGAGAGTAACAGCAGGGTTAGCAACCGGTTTGTGGCTGGTAATTTACCAACGCAGTGGCAGAGATGCGAAAATGATGTCGTTTGACAGAGTGCGTGGCCGTGTGACACTTTGTAGTGTGGAAATTGGCTTTGGGATATAAGACTCGCATTACAAGTCTTTCTGTCGAGTTCCCACAAGGCCAATCCATCTTCTTCTCTCCCCTTGACTGTTCAGTCGGTCCGCTAAAGTGCAAGTGCTGTTGGCTTTGCTGGCACGCTACGTCGTTTGTTGCGTGACCCCTTCCGGAACAAACAATCACAACAAAGACAACAATACGTCATCAGCACGCGGTATAGATACCTCGAATCCAGCACTTTAACGGATCAACAACGAACCCACTTCCAACAAAATGGGGTTCTTCAACAAGCGCAACACGACGCCCGTCGCCGCAGACACCACAACGGCAACCGGTGCTCACGAGAAGCGCGCCAGGCCTAGACGTGCTTCCAAGGGCGGCTCGTCCTCCTACAACAGCAGGCCTGGCTTCGGATCATGGATCAAAGCTACCTGGCTCGACATCCTCACCATGGCCCTCATGGGCGCTGTCGGTCTCGGTGTATACTTCGCTGATCCAGCCCCGAGCCGCAGCTTCCCCATCATCTTCCAAGATGGGGAGATTGTCTACCCGCAATTTGCTTACCCTATGCGCAACGAAATTGTTCCCATTTGGGCTGCCGCGCTCATGGCCTTCTTCATCCCCTTTGCCGTGTTCCTGATCGTGCAGATCCGCGCTCGCAGCTTCTGGGACCTGAACAATGCTACCATCGGACTTCTCTACGCTTTGATCACCGCAGCTGTTTTCCAGGTCTTCATCAAGTGGCTCATTGGAGGTCTTCGTCCTCACTTCCTCGCCGTCTGCAAGCCTGTCATCCCTGCCGACATCCTTGACACTGTCGGTGCCAACGACAACGGTGTCGAAGCCGGTAGCGCATATGGCAACGTCGCAAATGGGTACCGTCAGATCATGTTCGACCGTAGCATCTGCACAGGTGACAGGAAAGAGATCAACGACAGTCTTGAGTCTATGCCTTCCGGCCACACCACGGCTGCATTCGCTGGTTTCGTCTACCTGTACCTGTACCTCAACGCCAAGTTGAAGGTCTTTTCCAACCATCACCCGGCTATGTGGAAGCTCGTCGCTCTCTACGCACCCATTCTTGGAGCTTGCTTGATCGGAGGTGCTCTTACTATTGACGAGTACCACAACTGGGTAAGTCTTAACAATTTCCACTTTACATGTCAGAACGATCACTAACGAATCCTTAGTACGATATCCTCGCCGGAGCTGTCATTGGCACTCTGATGGCTTTCAGCGCCTACCGCATGACCTATGCTTCCGTCTGGGACTTCCGTTTCAACCACATCCCTCTCATGCGCCACGCTCCTTTCGTCTACGGCGCCGGTCCAAGCTCTTTCGATGGCTTCCACGACACTGTCTTCACCCGCAAGGCTGGATGGGGTACGGTTGAGGGAACCAGCTGGGGCGGTGCACCCTTCGATGCCGCAGATGGTCCTAGGGGAACCATGATGCCGCATCCTGACGGGCCTGCTCACGGTCACCACGGCAGCGCCTCGAGCCGCGTGCAGAGGAAGCCTGTCGGTGCTGACAGGCACGGCGAGCAGATGGTCTGAGCAGGTTAGACTAACGATCTTCTGGGCTATATCAGCTTGTGAGGATGAGGCTGCACACCTGCCTCGTGGTGTGAATGAGATGAAATTGAGAAGGAAGGATGGGTTGTGCATTTACTGGGTCGCCTTCGTCGGCGACATTTGATGATCATGATAGCGAGGCGTTATTGAGCACAGGAGATACCATGACATTCAACCTAGGAATATAGTCTAATAACATTCTGCATGACTTGAGTTGTTGGCCGGTTGCTGTGCTGTGAAGCTTTGGCCCTATCGGAATCTCTCGGAATCACCCTCATTCCGAGCCTCTGCGCGCACGCGTCCGTCACACGAAGATCGCGCGACGTTCGTCTGGCAAACGACACCAATCCACGTACCTTTTTCCAGAACATCTATTGCCAAAGGGGTCTAGGAGTATCTGGACGGCCCCATCATGGTGTCAGAGACGAGTATGCTATACGTACCAGCCCTGGTGCCTACTGACATATAACCCTGTGAGCGTCCTTCCTCTACTCCCAGGCACCATGCGACATCACCCAGAGACGTCCCATAGCCGCATGAAGGTCGCGTCGAAAAGCTCGAAGTCGCTTCAACTAACACGCGACTCCAGACCTAATCCTCAAAACCGCACGCTGCCATCTCAAACGATCCTTCCATCCCTTGCAGTGCCGACTACCCGCTTCCTCCTCCGCTTCGTCTCCTCCACTTCCCGCGCCACCAACCGCAATACCTCTGACTTATTGCTTCCGCAGCCCCCCCCCCCCACCCCTCCTTCTCGCCGCTTCGAAAACAAACCTGCGCAGCCGTCACACGCGAGTTGGCTGCCACACGAGACTACCAGCTAAAGGTAGCCTGCAGGAACACGGATCACATGCATACAAAGTACATCGGCTTGATGTGAATAGGGAGGCAAGTAGTTTGGCTGAATCAAGGTCATTGCGAAAAGTCTATATACACCGGGGCAAAGAATCAAGGTCCAAAACCATACAGGGAACAAACCCGAACGCCGTCGAAAGTGGAGAAAGAGAACGACCAGGCGCCTAGTGCTGTTGAACACCTGATACAACGAAAAAGAAAACAAAAGGCATTCAAAACGCTTCGAGCTGTCTCCTCAGCTCGTTTATCAGCTCTTCGCCAGCGTGAGGGCTCAACATCGCCGTTGGTGCGAAGACGCCTACATCCAAGGCGCCATTGCGGATGGTCGCCTCGATATCGACAGCATGCTACATATCTGTTAGTTCCTGCTCGTCCCAATATCGCGTAAAGGTAAACTCACCAAATATGCGCCATTGACACGCTCGTCCACCAGTTCAGCAGGTGGTTCCAAGCTGTGCTCCTCCACTTCGGTCACCCTACTGACCGGCTGCTGCCATTGTCGAGTCGGTTTGATGATGATAGAGTCCTTGCTCTTGGTCTCTCCCTCCGCCTGTGGGGTATCCGGCAGAGATAAGAAATTTACGAAAGTATCAACCTTGACACCCGTCCATTCGCTGATCTCGAAGAGGCTAGCAGAAGCGTTCATGGGCTCACTGATTTCTTGCAGGTCGCGTTGGATATCCTCAGCCATCCCTGCCATCTGGCGTTTGAGCGGCTTACTGACACGTAGTGGTAGTAGATTGACTGTTGGTACAGCAGCCGAGGCAATGCCATTGATAGGCAGCGAGCGATTGGCCAGGTAGACACCAATGATCACGTCCTCATCTGCAGTGCCCGATGTGTTCGTAGCATGAACCTTTGCGTACGCAGCGAGGAAGATGGACTGCGTTGAAACACCACGTTGGCGCGCAGCTGCCTCCAGGTTGGGCGTTGTGAACAAGGCTGGCTTGAAGAGCTGTGTCCTCGTTTTGGGGCTCTCAGCAGGCTGCATCAAGAGCTTCTGCGCAAAGTCCATGAGATACCGAGTCCAGAAGCTCTTCTTCTTCTCTAATTCCGATGGCCCGTATCCGTTAGCGACCATCTGGGTAAGTGCCTTGTCTGGCGGAGCGACTTCAGCGCCGTTGCAGATGGTTTGCAGTTTCTGCATCAAGAGAGGTAAGCTGACACCATCGTACAATGCATGGTGGATCTTCAGCTTCAACGCCCAGCCGCTGGAAGTTTGTGAAGCGAAGAGGTGGGCCCAAGGCTGCATGGTCGTTGTAGCCTGGACGCGCTGGCGGATTTCGTCATGTGTGCAGCCAGTAATGTCTGTGATAGAGCTCTCCAGATCTTTCAACACGACTGCTACGTAGGGTATCTGATGATCGCCAGTCGTGACGAAGGAGGACCGCAGAATCGGACTTGTCGCAACTAGGGCTTGCCACGAGTTGTTGAGGTCGTTGAGCCCAATACCTCCATGGATAGCGTATGTGAACTCGGCGTAGAAGTTGCTGCCTTTGGTATTCAGCCACGTCGACAGCATGTATAGCTGCCCGGCGGTGACTGGTAGAATTTCGGCGACCCTTGCATCGTCAACATGAGCCCGGTCTAGGATGTGTGATCTATCGAGATCTTTGAGAGCCTCCCGAACCACTTCATGAGGGTTGGCACTGGTTTCCAGCTGCTGTGTGGTGCGCGAATCC